ATAAATACACAGCTTCAAAAGCAGATACAACAAAATTATGAGAAATTGTGAGGAGATTTGCCCCATATACCATAGAGAGAAGAGGCTGGATTATAATTTATTCCTCCCTACCCGCAAGCTGCACCCTTTGTTACTAGAGTAGTTACGACAAAATTAATTGTTGATTGTTACGACAATTAATTATAATATAATCATATTTTCTTATGTAACATACATTTAAAAAATCATACAAATAGATATACAAAAGGAACAGTATATGAAGCCACTAATACGCTTCAGTTTTTCAGACATTAATACTCAGTATTTCTTAATCAAAACTTACAGATAAGGGTAAAAATGAAATGGATTGTCTATGAATGTGAACTTTATGAGCTCATTGTTTAGAGTTTTTACCCCTCTTCTCTCCCTATTATACGATAACATCACAATTGTTAGTTTTAACAAGGACAAAATTTAGTCTTAGTCAAGTATTTTGACTAGGGGGAAACAGAAGTACTTAAAATTTCACATCTAAACTCGTGTAATGTTTAGACACGATAACCCGTAAGAAGCACATAAATGGATCATACATATGGTTTAGCTATTCATGTTATGTGTTGAACGACTAGTTATAACCAGCCCAAGGCTCGAAGCCTCTTTCCTTCTACAGCTTTAAATCATAAAAATTCTCACAGCTTCGCTCGTGAAATATGCAACATGTGAAATTCGATAGAAAAAATCCATAACATCAAAAAGTATTGATTTACATATTCAACAATATCGGGAATCCAGTTAGGCGAGATACTGTAGGTCAACACACTCTGGCCGTCTATAGTGGTAAGAGATACTGTAAGCCTACACTGCCTACTGTTCTAAGGAGCATATGTTTACCACTCTACATAGCATATATCTGCCACTCCACATATGTCTACCACTCTATATATGTCTGCTACTCTACATAGCATATATCTACCACTCTACATTTCATGACTACCGCTACTCATAACATATATTGCTCCACATATCATGTATTCCACTCTACATATTATATATATATACCACACCACACAGCATATGTGTATCCCTCTACGTAGCATACATATCTACCATCCCACATAGCATAGGCAAACATACACCTTTAATCCAAAATAATGATATCATATTTGCTGTCATTTCTGTTACTCATGTAATTAATATCGTATATTCAAATATTGCTTCTCAAATAATATTAACTTTTAAGTATGACATGTAGTAATAATATTATAATAATTTTTAGGGGGGTTGGAACAGTATTTATGAGACATATTCACACAATGTACATCTCTTGTTATTAAGTGCAAACCAAAAATGTATAATATAATTCTATATGAGATGTGTGTTTACAACATGTATATACAACTTGTATATACAACATGTATATACAACACAGTCTTAGTGTTAGGATATACACTCGTATAGAATGTGGTGTACTTACCTAATTGTGCTTGCGGGGATTGAGCTCTGGCCCTTTGGTCCCGCCTCTCAACTGTATGTATATGTGTTGAGGCTGGGATGATAGTATCCTATCTAAACTAAACATATATATAGCCAATATAAATTGTAATTGAATGTAATGTATTTTTTGCGAATAAATTATTATTATTATTATTATTATTATTATTATTATTATTGTTATTATTATTATTATTATTATTATTGGAGAAACTTACTACAATGCCATAGTGCTTGAATGAAGGTAAAGGAAAGACCCATTATATTTATTAGAATTAGATTTGAACTAGAACACTGTCGATTAGATTATATTAGAACACTGCATACAGAACCATGAGAAATTATGTAGTCTACATCCGATTTTTTGTATACACTTATATATATATTGGGTCCAACCACTTGGGTTCGACGGTAGAGCGACGGTCTCACTTTATGCAGGTTAGCGTTCAATCCCCGACCATCCAAGTGGTTGGGGCACCATTCCTTTCCCTCTCGTCCCATCCCAAATCCTTATCTTAACCCCTTTCCCAGTGCTATATAGTCGTAATGGCTTGGTGCTTTTCCCTGATAGTTCCCTTCCCTTATACATATAATGGGTATTTCCTTCGCCTTCAATATTATTATTATTATTATTATTATTATTATTATTATTATTATTATTATTATTATTATTATTATTATTATTATTATTATTATTATTATTATTATTGTTGTTATTGATATTATTTTATTATTATTATTATTATTATTATTATTATTATTATTATTATTATTATTATTATTATTATTATTATTATTATTATTATTATTATTATTATTGTTGTTATTGATATTATTTTATTATTATTATTATTATTATTAATCATTATTATTATTATTTGTATTATTATTATTATTATTATTATTATTATTATTATTATTATTATTATTATTATTATTATTTTTTTTTATTTTTTTTTTTTTTGTGATATATACAAGAGTTGCTACATTCTTGTACAGCCACTAGTACGCGTAGCGTTTCGGGCAGGTCCCTGGAATACGATCCCCGCCGCGAAGAATCGTTTTTTCATCCAAGTACACATTTTACTGTTGCGTTAAACAGAGGCTACAGTTAAGGAATTGCGCCCAGTAAATCCTCCCCGGCCAATACGAACCCATGACATAGCGCTCGCGGAACGCCAGGCGAGTGTCTTACCACTACACCACGGAGACTGCAATTATTATTATTATTATTATTATTATTATCAAAGCAGTGGTGTATGTAGGGTGTGGCAAGCATAGCGCGTGCCCTGGGAATGTGTGGAGTGAATGTTTAGGGATTTATATAGAGGAACTCTGTGATCTGAAGACAGAATTTGTTATAGTTCTGATGACACATTTTTCCTGGGTGGGCTAGAGGTAGTTTGCAGTGGTTGAACCCAACGAAAACATACCGTAGTTTAGATAGTGATTGATTATAACGTAATACAGTAATTACCTAAGTGTAGTTCTGTCTAAGAGGGCCTTACAGCTGAGTGGACAGCGCTCGGGATTCGTAGTCATAAAGTTCCGGGTTCGATCCCCGGTGAAGGCGGAAACAAATGGGCAGAGTTTCTTTCACCCTGATGCACCTGTTCACCTAGCAGTGAATAGGTATCTGGTATTTAGACGGGCTGCTTTCTGGTGGAGGGGGTTGTAACAAAAAGGAGGCCTGGTCGAGGACCGGACCGCGTGGACTCTAAGCCCCGAAATTATCTCAAGATAAGATAGTTACAGGATGAGAGCTAGTGGTGTCCCAAGTACTCTTTGTCATATGACTCTTTGAAACTACTGAGGGTTTTAGCATCCGCCACCAATATATTTTTTTATATAAATTAAACTATATAAACGATAAACAATATATATTGCCCGCCGGAATTGATCCAGAAATTACTTCGATCGGCTTGAAAGATCTCGGTAGTCCTATCGATTAAGCTGGGATATTGATATCTATGGCAGGTGGCTGCAGGTAATGAATCCACCAATGGTGAACATTCACATTGTAAACTGTGTGAACAAGAGCTGGGACATACTCTCCAACACTATATCTGTGATTGCCCTGTTATCAGTGATTTCAGACTAAATGGTATGAAGTACTTTCAGCTCTGTAATTACTTCATACACTCAGCGATATTGGAAGATATTCTTGTGCTGTACCCAGATTTTGCTAGTGGAGGCTAATAGGCTTCACATTTCATGTTCTCTCCTGATTCCATTATGACTAACCATCCTGTGAGATGGGAATATTAGAAGAACTTATAGCTATTTTTTTATCTACATTGTGTAATCTTTCATACAGAATAGGGTAGCACACATTGCTGCATATACCTAAGCATAAAAAAGTCCCATCGAAGGATAAATCAATATTTAGACTATAAATGGGATCGAATCCGCGTCTCTGAACTCCTCTGGCACACGCACTGGCGACTGAACCATGATGACCACTCCACACGTAGGCTCAGGAACCTGTACACCAGTTAATTGACAGTTGAGAGGCGGGACCAAAGAGCCAAAGCTCAACCCGCAAGCACAATTTGTTGAGTACACGTGTAAGAGGAGCAGAGCGGGAACATACAATATCTCAATTTGTGAGAATATACCAACAGTTTTAGAAACTTTTACGCTATATGTTGTATGTGAGTACTGAAGTTACTGAATGTTGACATTGTCTATCTGAAGATATTTGGTTTGATTATTTGTTTACAAGGGAGTAGTAGGGTATTTCTAAGCTTACTGTACTCACCTAGTTGTGCTTGCGGGGGTTGAGCTCAGCTCTTTGATCCCGCCTCTCAACTATCACTCAATTTTGAGTTTGTTTGTTGACATCCATGAGTAGATATTTTTAGTTCGTTATTTACAATACTATTTTGAGCATGTGCAGGGTTGGGGTTTAAAAAGATGAATGTAGAAAATATTATAGAGACCGGCATGCACTTGGAAATCTGGAAAAAAAGACTAAATGTAATAGTGTAACGAACTTTTGATAATTTAATATACTATTTAGCAAGTAAATTCAGATAAATAGCATATTTAAGTATATTTAATTCTTAAAGATCATTACAGTATTACATTTAATTTCTTACAGATTTCAGAGTGTGTGTGCCTGTCTCTATGATATGTTATTGATTATCCTAGTTAGCGAATTACTCATTGGATTCAGGTAAATTCAGGAATAGGAGTTTTGTTTTTTCTACCACAGACGTGGCCACACATTTACAATGCTAACCAGCATATAAACATTTTCTTCTGTCCTCCATGGACAGGGTTAGAGATGTGTTAAACATATAGTTCAAGGGTTTACTGAACAATCAACCACAGAAGGTGATTCGGTGCTTTTATAAAATGCTAAGCTAACCTACATACGTAAATACATAGATACACAGATTTACGTATGCCCTACATAAAGTGTTCGATGTGACTTTTACATAGTGTCATTAATGTGCATTTACAAAGGTGAAATGTAATTCAGGAATAGGAGTGTGTGTGCAGAGCATCAGAGGTCACTGTGGACCTGACCCCAGCCGACGCCTGGCGGATGGGAACCAACACTCTCCCAGACGTCAACACGGAGCCTCAGCTGGAGAAGAGAAGCACAACTCCATCTCTCTTTTTCTCTCTCGCACTTTCTGCCTTGGTAAAGGTTCTTGTAAGTATACTCTGTGTTAGAGCATTTAATTGGCATTAATACAAGTTTTTGGATTATTATTTTTTTTTACTATGCAAATAACTAACTTGGGTAAAATATGAGGGTCAGTCTCAGCCGGTATTTTGTTAACTGGTCTCTTTGTAATGTATATATGGTGTGCCTGTTACCTGAGGGCCACTTATCAAAGGCTCGACCTTAATTAAAGATTCCCCCCACCCAACAGGTCACATCGTACCAGAGATGGTTTGCTAATAGATTTTAAAACCTAACCAAACCCAATCTGGCAATTTATGTGGGTCTAATAATCCGAATGAGAGTTGTGTTAAAACAATTGTGTACAATTTTACCATAATTCTGTCGCATATCAAAGGTGGTTCGCAATTTTTTAGGACTAACCTTGGACTAAACAAGTGTGTGAAGTGCTAGTCTACAAAATAAAGAACTCCAGTGTGTTACCGTCGGAACAGTTATTCTCTCATTGAGTTGCGACATTTCTTTTCCATATGGATATTACTCCACTTTTAACGTGTTCTATATGCAGCAATGGCAGTTTGTTACTCAAGATGAGTGATGCTCATCCCAGCAGTCATCCCGATGCTTCATCAGTACCCGTGGCGCAATGGTAAAACACTTGCCCCACACTTCCCGAGCAACTTGGCCTGGGTTTGTATCCTGGCTGGGGGAGGATTGACTAGGTGTCAATCCTTAACTGTAAGCCTCTGTTAACCCAGCATTGAATGACTACCTGGTTGTTAAATGATTTTGGCGGGTCTTATTCCGGGGAAAATTAGGATTAGGGACCTACCCGAAATGCTATGCTTGCTAATAGCTTTATAAGAATGTAAGAACTCTTGCATATATATAAATTAAAAAAAATGCTGCTCAATAGACTTGCTCCTCAAGGCAAAATTTTATTCTCTGCTAATCACCAATGGCATTGCTGAAAAGTTGGCTATACCATAAAAAGCCTAATCCTATCTCATGAACAGTTGGAGAGTCATTGAAATAATGAAATTCTACCTAACCAAAGCATTGTGATTGTTTTGTAAGAGACCCAAAGGGCCTAAGATACTCTGAAACAGTAGGCTATATAAGTTTTTTCATCTGTTAAGCAATAATTCCTGTAAGTGGTAGTGAAAGAGGTTACAGTGGTACATAATGGGTGCAGGAATTGAATCTCAAAATTTATTCATAATTAATTGAAGGTACGATCACCACTTGCAGACTAGCAATTCTATTGTCATGAAATAAATAGTATTTCATAATTGGATAATTGGGGATAGGAAGTCTGTTAGACCCATTGAGGTTCCTCTGAATGACAATTGACCATCCTCCAGTATGTAGCTTGCAACAGTTGACTATCTCCTAGGCACAGTATACTGTATACCCATTTACTGGTAGGTAAACTGAAGTCTCAAGTGTATGCAGTCATGGCTAAATGTCTCATCCTTTGAAAGTCAAGCTTAGGATATATCAAGTGTGAGCTAAATGCTTTAACCCTACAATGCACTTGAATTGATATTATCCTAAGATAATATCAATTCAAATTATTTAGAAAAAATAAGAATTATAATTGTTGTGGAAAATTACACAATTACATAACTTAAGGGTCATCATACAGTAATAAAAACATAATTATTACCTTGTTTACCATTTTCATTGGGAATTTTACACACCATCTAAGCATCCACAGCAGCACTCTTTATCACATCCAACTAGGTCATGTGTGTAGTATGCTTCCCCTCTCAAACTGATTTTAAGTAGCTGTATTCCTTATTGCTTCTGGTGCACTATTGTCTCACTTCCTGCTCCCTCTCACACTTATTCACCCTATCTTTCCCTATATTCTTGGTCCTCATATTTTCCTAGCTTCAAATTTGCTTAAATTTGCTGCTTAATCATCATTATGTAAAGCTCATTAAATTAGAACAGCAATGTTTTAATAAGCCAAAACAATTCCTAGTTAACCATATGCATTTGATTAAACTATTTCCTGCTCTAAGGTAACCATTTAAAAAAACTTTTCCTGGTTTTGACAGTACAGCAATAACCTATATGTATATTCTACACATATTAATTTATGTATATTTTCAGTTTTACTTGATAAAACAAATTCATGTTTCAGAAATCATTGAGAGGTCTGGAGATTTTTGCTTGATTTTCATGAAGGTTGTAAACTCCATCAGAAAGGTTAGTTTAATGGTTGAAGTATACTTGGGTATCTTTTTGTTGTTTTTGCTGTAATGTTGAATGAAAGAAGAATATATAAATGAATTATTGTCTTGAGAGAGTAATGGATGAGAACATAGAATAAATAGATGAAAGTTTAAAAGGTATATTGGCCCATGTGAAACTACCTATTCACACACAACCAAACTCGCTCATCAAACCTCATATGTAACCTATGCTTGAAATTATCTAATGATCCCAAGAGATGGAGGGTGATAGAAACTATCTACTGTAATGCCATGACAGTGCTCAAAGTTGATATAATATTTTTATTTATAACTTAAGAAAATCCAAGGGTTGTCATAATTTAAAATGCCAATTTTTATATTTTTTCTTAAATACTATAATTTGAAACTGAGATACGAGCAGTATACAGTGTTATGATTTTTGCAAGTACAGTATAGTATACATTAGCTAATCAAATTCATATCAGGCCCAAATAAAGTGTTGCAATCGCACAGCCAACAAAAAACAAAAGGGTAGGTAGGTATTTTTTTTTAATGTGAAGGCATGATATAGATATGCTCAAATCACAGCTGTAGAATTTAGATTTTACTGCGCATCTTTTTTTTTCTTAAAAACATTAAGGTGTAGTTGGAATTTAGGGTTGGTTGGAAACTGTCAACATATTTTTGTTGGCCTTATTCTAGGCCTAAAATCTTTTATATACTTTCAAGTTTTGGATGATAATGTTAATTACTGAATCCTTTGAGCTTTCACTTTTACCATGTTTAAATGTGGCCTGTAATTATAACAGTACCGCATCCACCACATTTTTTTTAGTCCCAATTGAAATTTTCCAATATTGATTGTTGTAAGCTTGCAAATTTGGTCAGTTTACATTTACCTACTACAGTAATATACTTGGAAATTCTAAAGTATAGTGAATAAACATTGCAGCAGCATCTCCGAATTTATGGGGTAATGAAATGCTTGCCCAGAAATTATGAAAACATTTAAGAAAATAGGGCTAAACACAATTACAACATTACAATAGAAAACTTTTATTATTAAAAAAATGTAAGTAGCAGGATACATTAAGAACGAAATAAAGGAGTTATAAAAGAATTTTCCTCCTTTTAAGCTTTCACCCACACTGGTATCTCGCCAGTTGTCACAAATAAAATGTCAGTCATTTATTTCCTCTAAAATTTGTATTTCATTGCTCCACATAAATAAACTACTCCCAAAATCTTAATGTATCAATATGAGTTTTATAATTGTTGTATCAGTAAAAACACGAACATTATTTCAGCGTAAGAGCAGTGAAAGAAATGCACCTCTAGTGCCATGCGGACAGGTTTATACCGCCACTTTGGCAAGTGGCTGGGTTTGGCTGGTTACATGATCCAGTATGGCTGCATTGCTCACTGCACCCTGGAGTTTGTTGGAGATTTTGTCGTGGTAAATATTGCTACACATTTGTTATTTTCCTTTTTTTCTGTGTGTGTCAAAAAAACCCTGAATCATTGTGCATAATTCAACCTTCTGCTAATCCAATTATTGTACAGGGTATTTAATTTTGTGGATTTTATAGTAAACTGATACAAATTTAGGTTGGTTACCCAAGCTGTTTCATTATCTATTACATATTATTATATATACTGTACTGTGTATTCATAACCTATTACAGAGACTGTGATAAATACAATACTTATAACCACTAGGGTATCAATTAGATAATTATATTTTTGTATAGGATCTTGTAGTGCAATTGACTCTATTCTTGACTCACAATTGGGGATCCTGGGTTTGATTCCTGGATGGGACAGAAATGCTTGAGCTCGTTTAATTTTACCTAAAGCCTCTGCTCACCTAGCAATAAATACGTACCCAGGAGTTAATCAGCTTGGTGTGGGGTTGCATCCTGGGAGTGTCGATAGATCAACCTTGAAGGGGGAAGGGGAGACCACAATACAAGCCTAAAGTATATACCCCGGTATAAATACACAGGTTTCCTGTCCTCGACAAAAGAAATTAGTATTATACAATTATCTTAAACTTTTAACAATTTAATGATAATTCATTGTCAGGGAACAGGCAGCCAATGTATATGTACATGTTAGGCCAACAGGATAGAATTGCAGGATGTAATCCGACAACAAGCTGACTAACTCTTGGATACCTACAATATTTACTGCTTAGATGATAGGAAATGTGCCCAACCATGACTGTTCTGCTCAGGATTCGAACCCCGATTTTTTTCGACCCTGTTCTCACTGAGGGTTAAAATACAATTTTAATATAAAATTTGAAAATAACATTTTTATATATACTGTGTTTTTATTTTGAATTTAGACCTGATTTTCCCAACTATTATAAAAAAATTCATGGTGAAAATCATCCCTCTGATCACTACCTGTGAATAACAGCTCCAATGCCAGAGCTGCAGATTTCCATCAGAGAGGAAAGGCACACTTCCCTAGCTAGCTAGCACTCCTTCCAGCCCACATCTGCATGAGCAAGGATTGTTGATTACAACTTGCAGCATTCAAACAGGGTTTGAAAGATGAACACTTATTGGTAGAAACATTAACAGCTGAAGCACTTGAAACTTTGGTTCAAGCAGAGCACTCCCAATCCTGGGGACTCATTTTGTTGGAGGACACCAACTCCCTCAAGAGATGCACTTGAGGAAGGGAGTGACTCCATTGAAATATTTTGTAAATGGCTCTTGAAGTTCACAAGGCATTTTTATTCTATATCTACAGTTGGCTCTGTGACTAAAACATTATGGATTACCTTTATAAAAAAAATATCAATTGCATAATATAAAGTGGTTACATTGAAAAGTTAAATAATTGTTTAAAATATTATTTCATGGGAGCACTAATACTGTATTTTAGGATGATTGTGAAACTAAATATATATGTACAAATGTTTAAAAAAAAAAATTCCCACAGTGTAAAGGACCTTCGATGGAACCAACTATATTCTCAGAGGACGTGATCATTACTGAGCACATTTCTCCTCGATTAAATCGCATCAGTCGAGGGGATGTCATCATTGCTCGTTCCCCAACAAATCCCCACCACCACATCTGCAAGCGGGTCACTGGCCTTGGGGGAGACAAAGTCAAAATTGGTTTTCGAACTCATATTGTAAGTCAAGCAGAACTTTATCTTAGGGAGAATTGGATAAAAATTAGACAGGCAGTTGCTCTAAGCACTGTCATATTTTTATTTGATTTTCCCTCTTGTAATATGGTAAGTGTAGTTTAGACTGTAAATGTGTAATATTTTGGTACAGTAGCCTTATTCCAGAGGATACCTTGAGATGTATTGAAACATTTCTGAGACTAAATTCTTATTTTTTATAATTATTTAGTATGGTAGATATGTTCTTGGAATACGAGTGCTAACTAGATCAGCACTGTATGGAGTTATTCTTGTATAGTCCCTATGATTTTATTAATGCAGTCTTTCCTGCCATGGGTCCGGTTCTCTTGGCAGCAGCCCTGCATCATACCTCACTGGTTCATCCTTCTCCTTCACTCTGTTCACTTCACACTTTTCCCAGCCACTTTGACTGGACAGTAGAGCGACGGTCTTGCTTCATGCAGGTTGTCCTGTCTCATCCCAAATCCTCATCCTGAACCCCCTCCAAGTGCTATAAAGTCATAAAGGCTTGGCACTTTTCCCTAATAATAAAAAAAAAAATTGTCTTGGTGTTTTTTATGCGAGTCTGTTGCCATTTTTGTGGCTATTGGTGCCCCATAATTTGTATGCCCCTATTGGTGCTAATCCTCAGCAGTATGACAGTGCCTGGTGCTCGTTTCATCTTTTTTCTGATTCCACCTGAAGTATATCTGGAGAGGGTTCTGGGAGTTCTTCCCAAACCAAACCTGCAGTCAGGCTTGTCTTGGACTTGTAATAACTTGGTCTAACAGGCTGTTGCTTGGAGCAGCCCAGATGTCCACTTCAGTCCATTACTTTTTGTGGAAGTGTCTAATTTTCTCTTAAGCACGTCCACTTTTGTACTGGCAATATTTCTTATGTCTGCTGGGAGGATATTTAAACTCTATGGACCTCTGATCCTCATTCAGTGTTCTCTTATTGTACCTGTGGTGCAACTACTCCAGAATCCAGAATCTTCCATGTATATATGATACTTCTTTTACCTCCTTTCAAGAGTCCATTTCGAGAGCTTTAAGGCAGTTTCAGTACTTTAGGTGCTCTATCATGTTGGTGCACACTGTTTATGTTCTCTGTATCCCTCTACTTTGGCAATTTCACCTGATTTGAAACCTAAAATGAGTACCAAACAGTACTCAAGTTGGGAAAGTGCAAGTGATTTGAAAGGTAGGAACATCATAATGGCATCCCTGTATTTGATGGTTCTCATAACTCATCCTATTGTTTTCCTGGCTGATGTTATATTTGCTTTGTTATGCTCGCTAAACGTTAGATCATCTGATTTCATTATTCCCAGATCTTTTACATGTTGTTGTCATTCTGAATAGATCAGGTTGTGTCTTGTACTTTGTATTTCATTTATGATTTTCATTTTGTCATTTTCATTTTTTCTCGGTCCCTCTTAATAGTGTTAAAATTGAATTAATTGAATGGCCCTTCTCACTTGTTAATCCCAGGGCACTCCTGAACTCGAGACCTGTTCCAGTGGGAACAAGTGGGCCGAGTTGGTGGAGACCGTGATAACCAGTGAGATTTTGGTGAATAGACTGATGTATCCTGGGATAGCACAGTTTAGTTACGAGGTGGAATTAATGTCAGTCTGTTAAGGCTTGTTATAGTTGAAACCTGTGTGGAAGCCAGCCAGCATGTTGCTGGACACCACTGCCAGCGTATTGTTGGAGACCTGCCAGTGTGTTGCTGGAAAGTAGAAGTGGTATTTTGACACCGTGATGATACTGTAAAGGACTGGCCCATGATTTACTGAGAAAGGTGAACTCGCCAGAGTGAGTACCATAGAAGACAGACTAGGGGAGAGTACCACAAGTGCTGTACAATAGAAGATAGAAGTAGACTCGCCGGATTAGAAGATCGCAGATGTTTGTTTGTAGTGTCCTATGTGAAAGTGACATCTGCAATATTATATTATGTACATATGTAAGAAGTGTAAATACTGTAGTTATGAAGTACACATGGTGATGGTATGGTTTAGTGTTGTTTTCCCCTTACTCTTGTTGGATTGACTATTACTTCCAGTTCTGAACAACTTTCTTATGACTGGGTTGAATCTGGTACAAAGTGGTATTAAGGCCCCATAGAAAATTTTGAATAGAAAGAACCCGGTTACTGACTAAGTGAGGCTGTAACACACTTTATTTGTTTGCAGCAGTCTTCTCTGGTAAAAAATGAGTCGTTGGGCTTCCATGAGGGATCCCTTAGTGATTGATGTTTGGTTGGTTCGGCAGGGGGGGTGCATCATTTGTCTCATGGCGACTCTTCACAGTTACTTGCGAACCACTAGTCCTGCCTCGAGTGCCCTGTTGGTTGATGCCATTTCCTTGATTTCCTGTTCTAAGGCTCACATTTCGCAGGTCGTCCATGGTCTTTTCCAATATGTCCTGGGCTGATACTTGGGTTTGGAGGTTTTGAATTTTAACAGGGTTCTGGCAACACAGTATTTAGTTAATGGGCCATGTCTCCTGACCTGGGTTCTATTTATTCTAGTGCCTGCTGTCTTTCCTCTTCCCTGGTAAGTCCCATTCTTGTTCTTTGGTTAGCTTCAGGGAGCCACCTGGAGACCCCACACAGAAATCCAACATTGAATGTAATGAAACTCCTCTTTCTGGTAGAGCCCTGGTTGCTCCCTGATTACCTCCCTCCCTTCCAGGTTTGTGAGTGAGTTGTTCATCACCTCCAGAACTAAGATGGGCAATATGCCAAGGGTAGAGGCTGGGCTGCCGGGTGGCAATGATCAGTATTAATGGGTTTCAAACTAGTTTGCTGAATTCCTTGTTCTATGTGAATCATTTATGATGTTTGGCAATTTTGAGGCTTTGCTTTCTGTGAACACCTCAATTGTCTGTAAAGCTTTGTTGACTTCCTGGATGCTTTCCCAGTGAGGTGGTGAATTTTCACTTGCTCCCTGTACCTCTTTGAGAGGTGCCAGGTTCTGTCTCTGGTTCCCGGTAGGCCAAGTAGAACCTCTGCAAATTATATGGCCTTTTGGTATGGAGCAATCTCGGCAAAATAACTTCAGGAATCCTTGATATGGGCCTCTTCCAGAAAGATGCTTTTCACTACATTTAATGCTGAGTTTTACGGTAGAGAACATACTGATGGAGAACATACAATTTTGTATGTTCTCTGTCAGTTATTTTCTATGCACCAACATTCATTTGTTGTTGCAGCTGTAACTCACAGTGGACTCTTGTTTTTAGAGACTTTTTAACCCTTTCCATCCTGTAGTGATTAAAGTCCACATGAAATCCAAGTAGGTGTAAAACATTTACATTTTTGGGGGGTCCCCAGCCATATTGATGTTATATCTAATAATATCACAGATGCCACTGCTCAGGAGGCCATTTGTCTCAACTGTCTCCTAAAAGTGGCTCCCTTACTTGGAGTTTTACCATGTCATTCACACACCAGTCTGCAACCGTTGGGGCAATCATGGGTTGAGTGCTGTATTATGAGTAATGAAAAGTAGTATTATGTGTAGTCTATTCATTTGGCCTTTGGCCTTCCTCCTACCACTAATGTAAGTTGTGAACTAGCTAGGCTGCATATTGGCCACACACGCATGAACACTTAATGGACATGCGCTTAATACACTTAATTAAACACTTAATAAAGACATGCACCTTATTGTCAGATTTACATTATCCCACTTAGTTGCTCACCTCCTCGTAGAATGTCCTGAGTTTCATTGATGTACACTATAAACAAAATAGAAAGTCAGTAGATGTGCAGCAAAGTGGATTCTAAAATTAAATGACAGCAAGTAGAACTTGTATATATATTGACCATGTGTTTGTTACAAAAATGTAACAAACAGGAAGATTTTGAAATCAAATTTAAGCAGTACTAATTATGCTGTATGTAATTTAACTTTTATATAATATATAAATACTGTACCTACTAAGTAATGTTTGAAATATGTTCCTCTTGTGTAGATTCGAATAAACTTGGAGTTTGTGTATGTTTTGAAACCACTGGAAGTTTTAATATAATTTACGGTAAAATATACACGTGATAAAACGCCACAAACATAATTTTGTGTGTAACTTCAAATTGGTAATAACTTATGCATGCATACTGTTTATATGATGGATGTAATACAGAAGCACCTATCTACTTTCAGGTTCCCAAAGGTCACGTGTGGTTGGAGGGTGACAATACTATGAATTCTACTGACTCGCGCAATTTTGGATCTGTGCCAGCAGGATTAATTCGTGGTCGAGCAGTATGCCGAGTATGGCCATTGTCTGAGCGTGGGAAATTAGATTCCATGCAGAAGTGGCAGGTTGACCGATGATGAGGTGGAACATATGTGACAGGATACTTTTCTTAAAGAACCATTGTTAAGAGGGATAAAGGCCCCAGTTAAGGATGCTTGGTAAAATGTGCCTTTAGTTATGAATTTCGTCCAATATAAAAATATATTCTTTATTTATGTAGATTTATTTTTTTTTATGAAGATTTTTTTTATGTAGAATGCAAGAAAAACGTACAGCGATATGAGGATAGTTTTAGTACTTTTGGTCCGCTAGGAGTTTTTTCAGAGACATCTCTGAAGAAGTTCATAGCGGAGTGAAAGACTTTTTTCCAATTTACCTGATTTTACCTGAGAGCCATTAACACAAGTGGCCTCGTCGAGGATAGGAAGCCGGTGGCTTGTCGAAGGTCCCTCTATTTGCCTTGATCTTTTCCAGCTGTACCTTAAAACTTAACAGTTTTGGCATTTACGGCTTCGGCGGGTAGGCATTTCCATGGGTTAATTATCTTATGGGGTGAGAGAGCTTCTGTTTTCAGTCCTTCATTGTGGCTTGTTGAGCTTGAAACCGTTGCTCCTGCCTGCAGTTTTTCTTGCATTTTGCAGTCACATGTTGTGTAACTTTTTGCATATGTTGATTACATAATATATGCAGCCTGTTTGCAATTTTAAATTAGGCTGATGTTTGCTTATTAATTACTTTCGTGTATTGACTATGGGTAACATTATATTTCCTTGTTGGAAATAATGCTTTATCATTCAAGAAAAAAACTAGTGCATAATTTATTTGGCAATGAGTTATTGCTATAGACTCTGTAAGCTCAATAACTCATAATATTTGAGGTTTGAAACTATTAAGTAAAAAGTGTTATACTAGAAAGTGTAAAATCCTTTTGTTTTTCACATTTGCAGTGCTTCGTCTTTGTGAAATGTTTCTTGCGGGTTGTATAGGCATCTGATTCATGATATTTAAAATAAAAATTTCTTATTAACACTGTACCTATTGTTGTTGAAGTACATTACTGTATAGTATATTTATTTGGTCCTGTACCTATTGTTGTTGAGTACATTACTGTATAGTATATTTATTTGGTCCACTGATGGTAACATTAAAAAAAAATCATTTCATTCTGTATTTTGTCTTCAGTTTTTTATATTTTTATATCTTAATGATCAGTGATATGTGGTTTAGCTTCTGTGACAGGTAATTATAGTCTTAAAAATCATCCGATGTGAAATTCATATGTTAAGTACAGTATTGTTAGTAATATTATTTTAATAAGTTGTGAAATATAAAATATTCAAACCTGAAACGTTCACGAAAACATTTAATTATTAATCTAAATTGAAAATTGTGTTGTGTATTGTTACAAAATATCAACCTCTGAAGTCTGCAAACATATTTGCTATATGGAAAACATTTTGATGTATTACTCTATATGATTACATACAGTATGTGTAATAAGTAATATACATTTCCTTGTACATTACAGGTATGTGTAATGCAATTACACAGGTATTTTCCCAAATTTCCGTTGCATTTTTAATAACACTTACTATTGAACGTTAATTGGAGATTAGAGGAAATGACAGTAGCAGAGATTGCCAATCCACACATGACAATATCATAGGCAGTTAAGAGAATAGTGATTTAGGTCATGTACAATCCCTCGGCTAACTGAAAGAGGCATCGGAAAGTGTATAACTAGAGCAGCATAATTTATCTGTCAGACTGGAGGCAGATTAAGGCGCTTTATCTAAGAAGGTCCGAGTACAGTATATGGTTAGGACAAGACTTGCATCTCTACGGCTAATACGCGTACATTGAGATGCAAGTCTTGTCCTAACCATATACTGTACTCAGATCTTGATGAAGCACTCAGGAGAGTGCAAAAGACTTGGTCTAAATCTTTCCAAAAAATACACAAATACACTAGTGTGGGTTTTTATCCTGTCAATCATATTGTATCCTACTCTCATATTGGCATCTTGAATGGTATTTAGTTTTTTTTTTTTTAATATTCTGTAATAGTGCTCTATAGCCATACTGTCTTACCAATTTCTTTTGCCAGTTCCTAATTTTGTGTTTACAGTATATAGAGATTGAGATTATGAAGTCCAATTTACAGAGGACCATTGGTTGTACACTAAAATAACCACCAATTATGAAAGTGGTCTGCAGCCTTTGCATGTAATTCAGACACCTGAAAGATATAACATTAGTTCGGATTCATGGGATTCACGTTCCTAAATGTCATCCTATGTGCATAAGTACCATTTATTTATGGGAATTTTATTTGATAAAATACTATTTAGTTTTTGAAATAACATGAAGGGTCGTAAGTAGAGGGGACTGAATGTATTTGATCTTTGTCACTGTAGCAAACTGCACACGTGGTGTGAACTTTAGAGAATCTCGGTGTTTGGAAGAAAATAAGCACATTGAAAAAGCACTTGACAAAATATTTATGTGATGCTAAAGGCAAACTTGGCCACCAAGCCTTTAAGTTGTTTTTACTTTAATAGTAATGAATTTGATCTTTCCAGTTTTATCACCCAACCACTTTTTTTTGTGTATAAAATATTCTTTTTACAAGATTTAAGAAGCTATCTCATTTACAAGCACTGTACAGTAATCATAGTGTTGAAGTGGTGGTAGATTTTTAAAATGTTAACATAAAAATATCCGTATCACAGTGCCTGAAGAAGAAAGTGGTGCTAAGTACAGTTGGATGTATACAGCTATTTGTATTTTTTTTTTTTTCCAAAAGGACACATATTTGTGCATTGTCCCTTCAGCAAGGAATATTTTTTTTGTAATTCAGTTTTTATAATTGTGTATCTGAAGGCCAAGTGGCAATTTCACACTGAATTTACAAGAGTACAAGTAGCCTACCTGAAGTGTTGACCATCCTGATTTTGATGAGTTAACGCAAGCTTATAATTACAGTATTTTAGTTTAGTCAATGGTTATGTACAGTTTTGTACCGCAGAAAGGTGTTTGCTCCTGGCTAAAGCCTTCATGTGGCCAGTTGTTAATGCTGTATCACATTTAGGTATACATATAAAGATGTCATGCAGGAATGTTAATAAAATGGGATTTTTTTTAATTCTTTTTATTTAGTACAGTATCATAAATTTGAGAGCTTTCTTTTTGTTTCAAATATAACAATGAAAAGCAAGAGAATGTATATAAATCATTAATGCAATGACATAGTGTATTGGAGAGAGGTAATTTACTGAAGGCAAATCTATATTCAAAGTAACCCATATATGCAGTAATGGGAAATTAAATTAATCTAAAGCAAACTTGTTTTGACCTGCTGTACATGTTTAAACTAATGTCTGACATAGTTTAAACATAAGCACTGGAACATTTACTTTGCCACACAACAAAGTCTCCAAAATAGGCATAAAGAAGAATGACTTGCTGAAGTCAAGAGCTGTGAAAGTGAAAATGCTAACCCATCAAGGAAGGATAATTAAGTTCTTGTGGATTCTCTCGTGTTGGAACCTAAAAATAATCAAGCAGATGTGTTGCTTGCTACAAGCACTAAAGGAGACCAAATTCATACACAAGACTTCTAATCAGAGATATCATCAGGCAACAGCACCATTATGGATTTACTCAGGAAAGAAGGATAGAAGAATCTGCAAATGAATCTGTACTCTGATACAATGTACTGTAGTTACAGTCAACAATCTCAATCATTATGGATAAGTAGAGGTGGTTGAAGGGAAAATTTTTTTAATAAATTTGATTTGTCTTGGATACAAGTATCCAAGGAGATGGATTTTATTGTCATTTCCCATCCCCTTCCATTGGGATGAAAATGACAACGGAGCAGCGGAGTTGCAGAATCTGTGGCATGGGACTGAAACCGACTGGACTACATTGAAACCAAATCTGTGGCATGAGAGATTTAAACCGACTGGACCACTTCTTGAGACTGTGCCCATCTTAGAGGCATTATAGATGTGTGTAGTGTACCAAATCCCACATTGTTTAAAGTGAGAAAAATAGTTGTCAAATACAGTACACAATAGATCTAATAGCATTTCATCTCGTATAGTTGAGCGGTGATGGTAATTGGATGCTAGGATGGGTACTGGGATACTATATGGAGGGTACTGGGATGCTGTAGGGCAGGCACTGGTATACTATGGTGAGTTTTGGCCAATACTGTACTAAATATGGTGAGTGCTGGGAAGCTAGGGTGGATGTAACGGGATACTATAGGGTGGATAGGAGGACACTGTAGGTTAGGTGCTGGGATGCTAAGATGGGTGTACTGGGACGTAAAATTTAATAAATAGGTCTTCTGTTCTCTTGCGGTTATGTCCATTACCAGTCTAGTGAACGGATATGAATGTATAGTCTTTATTCAGTATTAAATGGTTTATTCATGTCAGTGATTGTATGTTTAGGTAACAATAAAAATATACACGTAAAATCATAGAAATGCAGGAGAAAATCTTTCGAAGCAGGACGGAGGGATTGATCCCAGATGCAGACCTTACCCCATGGACCACGATATGCAAAAGTTACACATCTTAGAGTACACTTGAACTCACTAGAAATTTGGAGGCACTGATCTGGTACCCAATCAAATTTTTACATGTAACCCGCATACGCTCTAGTCACTGGTGTCAGTAATGGAGTTCACCAAACGCATGACATAACAGTAACGTGATTTTTCTGAGAAAATTTTTGGAGCAGGATGGCGACCATACAAGCGTTCGGCCCATTATAATGATATAGTGTGATGTAAATTTGCTCAAAGATTTTTTATAAGAAAAATACTTAACGTTTGTATATTATGATGGGACTTTAGTAACGTAATTTAGGTTTTCTAACTAAGCCGAGACCTTTCTTGGAAAACGTGTTTCTTTAATGAAAGGGCTTCACGTACATGCAATGAATATTTGATCGACGACAACTACAAACCATTTAATCATGTAGACGTTGACGATAATCGTGTGTCGTGTTATTTGTGCTGAAGGGCGTGTGCATAAAAGCTTATATTACTGGGAGCTACCGCCGCTTAAGGGGTCTTCTGGGCCAGGTCTTGTGGGCAAGGAGTTCGGCGGCGGAGCGGGCAAGCTTGGAGAGTGTAGAGTTGAGGGGCACCAGGTGCTGCTCCGTCCATTCCTCCACAGTGGCGTTGTTGTGGTACTGAGGCAACACCGCCTCCGCTTCCACCTGCAGGTCTCTCAGGGCTGAAGTGAAGCTGCGCAGGTTCGTTGTGGCCTCGCGTACTCGGCTTGGGGATGAGTAATTGTGGTGGAGGTTATATGCCGTCATCCAGCCACCCATCTCGACCTCTTTCTGCATGACCCTTATGTCGTCCCGCAGACGAGCGTATCGGTGCAGGAAAAAAGCCACGTTGGCGCCGGGAAAGGCACAGTCACGAGCAGCCCAGAGGTGCGGGTCTCGAGCGGGATCGAGCACTACATGCGGGGGACACTCCAGCAGGGTGTGGGTGTCGTGTAGTGTGGCTGGCGTCAAGAAGCCGCGAGAAGCCGTCAGTAACGTTAACACGAGCGACGGCGTGGACGGTGGCATTAGTTCGCAAAGTACGGCAAAATGGTCGTACCGAGACCATCCGGTGATCACAATCCCCGCAACATTTAGAGTCGCGTAACGCCGCATCCGCTGTCCTACCTGTACCCAGGCGAGCGTATTGGCAGCATGCCGGGCCGCATCCGGCATGATGGAACGAGGCCCCGTGGCACCTTTAAAAGCTGGGGCCAGCCACACCCTGGGAAAGACGGCGGCATAAGTCCTTAAAATGTAGGGTGGAACCATGCGTGACACATCAGGTCCGTAAGCCCATACCGTGGGTTCCACCAGCCCAGCCAGAGAGTGAAGTAGATGAGACGGGGCACGACGCAACATGTCGTCCCACACCAACACTCGCACGCCCCAAACGGATTTCACGTGCCGTGCCACGTACGCTACGTGGTCCACGAACAGTTGTAGGGGTGCAAGATCACGTGCCCGGCAACGATGACACTTAGCCAATGTGAAAACCTCGTCGGCGCCAATGTGGATGATTGGAGTTTTCACCGCCGTCATAAGTTGATTGATGGCTTCGATGACCAGGCCCGTGGTGCCCGGGTGGGATGGGCACGCCTCCCCAGGGCTCTCTCCTTCACGCAGCCCCGCCCACTGGGGCAGCTTGAGGGCGTACTCTAGGTGGCCCAGACTCTGCATCAGGTGAATCATCGTCAACCCCGCAGTTTGAGCTGCTGTCGCCACGCGCCTCACCTCGTCCTTAGTGTATGCATTGTGGGCAGAAAGGTTGGCCAGGGCGTCCGTGTAGGGAAACATGTCTTCCCACTCAACCAGCACGCCCGTTGCCCCCGCCCTCGCCGCCACAGTCATAAGTTCCTCGATCACTTCTATCCGAGGTGCACCACCTTTCAAGTCTAGGTGCCAGATGCGATCAGGCGGAACTTCTGTGCCCACCTGGGTGTGCAGGTGTTCTCCTGGCGTGTGCTGTACACGGGGAAGGTGAGCATGACGCGGAGTAACTAAGAAAATAGGAAATTTCTGTTCGGCAAGTCTTGCTGGCAGCATCCACACCAATATAACAGCCACTACCGTAACCACGCCTACCACCATTCCCACTCGTCGACGCCAACACTTGCTTATCATTCTGGACAAGTGTGCCGGACCTAATGTTACTGAGACAGTATTGCACTAAGTCACTGTGTTACGCAAGTATAATTTATTCAGACTACACTTGCAGTCAGATGCGATGAAGAAGCGTCGATCATTGTTGAAGAGGTGTTCGTGACACCCACTTGTGAGAGGCTGCGACACACCGAGGGTCGACGGGTGGAAGCAGGAGTGTGCTGGCGTGTGGGTGAAGCACGACTGGTCGCGGCCGGGGCCATCACTACCGACCCTGCTGGAAGCTGTGCAGCTCTAAACACTCCCGCTATTAATCAACACAACACGCGGAACTTGTTGCTGGGATGCAACAATAACTATGAAAAAACGTTATGTATTGTATAGTTTATTTCTATGTACCAAATGTACATTTTCATTGTCGGTCATTCGGTTATAATTTTCTGGGACCTTCATGAGTTGTTGATGATCTTGGAGCTCAAGAGGCTTACTGTGTTGACGCACTTGTGGTACTTCGCTACGTCTTGTATGGCCTCCTGTGTAACAGTATGGACAATGACACATTTAGCTGAGATCTTCATGTATATACAGCCACATCAAGGCAAATGAGGGGACCTTCGACAAGCCGCCGGCTATCTGTTCTCGTCGAGGCCGCTAGGGTTAGTGTAAATATTAATGTTCATTTATTTATTTACAATAAGGTAGAATAAGGTTGTGAAAGTTGGTACATTCTTGCAAAGCTACTATCACTAAATCTCTCTTATGTAATGGGAATTTAAGAAATGGAGATATTGTTCAAAAGGAATGAGAGAGGGTTTTAGTTTAGTTCATTTATTAAGCCCCTCATAACAGTCCTCTTAGTGACAGTGCAAATTAATTCATCAGGGCGGTACATGGTTTGCCGCGAATCAGCTAAATTAGAGTGAGGACCATATTTAACGAGACCAGCGTACTCCGAACTATACTTAAGTAACCCTACTAAATATAAACGACAAATATGTTGTTAACAGTAACGTATCTAGTGGTAGAATTGAATTGAATTATCAGGGAAAAGCGCCAAGTCATTTCGACTATATAATCTAGTGGAAGAGAAATATTGTTTTTCAAAAGTGGCGCCTTTTCAACATAATAAATAAATAATAATAATACATAAATGTTTATTCAGGTAAAAATTCATACATACAAGATGAGTTACAAACAGAATGTTGGATTTCTAGACAGAGATAGTACATACTATGCCTAAAGCCACTAATACGCACAGCGTTTCAGGCAATAAAGTCCTACCTTCCTTCTCCTGTGGGCGAGGATATACGGGTTAGCTTTGCTCTCCAGTGAAAGAGAGTTGGCTACTGAGGTGGACTATAATGAAGTAATAGATAACTCTGCTAGAATGAAGCCTAAACGAAAATGGTGTAGCTCTTTCATATATTTTTAATATTGCTTCGTTTTGTTTTCATTTTACGTTAAAAATGAAAATAATTAAAGAACATATGTTTTTATAATTGTCATGAAATTTATGAGCTTACTGTAAAAGGTTTTAAATATAAAATAACAATTATGTACTTCCTTTAAAGCTGTCCTATATTGTCCCCTTGTACTGTCATTTTAAACACAAAATAAACATGTATAATGAACTTAAAATGTGTATGTTACGCCCTTGCGGCCGGATCATGAACCTGCACATGTTTTCTCAATCTTTGGCGGCTTTGTTTACATTTATTAAACTGTTTCTGAGCTTTAAAGTAGTAGGAGGCGGTTTATAATAATAATAGCCATTTACTGGGAAGTTTTGATGCTCGTAAACTGTTTAATAATTGTAAACAATGTCACCAAATATTGACAAAAGATGTACAGGTTCTGAAAGGGGTAAATGCTTGCAGGTTGTTAACACATCAAATAACGGTAATATAGCTAAAAAAAAGTAAGTTGGCACCTTACTGATCATTTTTATAGTAGATATTGATGATAAAATTTATTAATTTGATAAAAGAGAATTCATGTATACGGCTATTGTAAACCAACCCATTCGCCGTGGGCTTCCGACATCAGCTGACGCGACCTCCTGTCTCCTACCCAATTAATTGCCAGTACAGAAGAACAAGAGGTTAGTTATTATTACAATTTAAATGTAAATATTAGTTTATTGTTGTTAAATACATAACATATTTTTTAATTAACGTAAATTAAAGCGCCACTTCTTATATGAACCAAGAGAGGGGCTGTCGCCGAGGATAAACAAAAAACAGTTCGGCTCTTCCTCGAAGTTTTCAACATGGATTAGAAATTCGGGGCTGGATTATCCAATAGGCCATGACCTAGGTTCTACCATGAGCACCAGGGGGGCCCTACCAGCCCAGGTGGGGGGGGGGTCCTACCAGCCCAGGTGGGGGGGGGCCACCATGAATAGTGACGTTATCAACATTATTCATCTTTAGATACCAATATGTCATGTTTAACATGACCATTAACATGGTAGAGCGGGGAATACCAAGCTTGTCACTCCTGTCTGGCCTTAAAATGTCAAACCTAGCACTCTCCTAGAAGGCAAGTTGGCACTCCTTAATTCTCAAGTATTTGGATGTAGGAAAACTGGCACTTATCCTTAACTTGCAGGCATGACAACTGGCGCTCCAGGTTTTGCAACTAGGAAAATTGGCATTCCTCTCTTAGTATAAAAACTGAGACTACTTTATGGCATCAAGGTGGAATTTATATCTGGCACTCCGCCCTGTCTTGGAGTGGGGGAAAGGTGGCACTCATCTCTGTTTTGGAGCGAAGGAAACTGATGCTCTTTCCTAAGTTAGAGTTCTAAAAAACTTGTATTGCGTCCTAGCTTGGGGATACTGAACTAAGCATTACATTGTGTAACAATTTAAACCAAAATCCTGAGTAGTGTTGTTTTCTGATTACCTATGCCTCCTGCTTTGGCTGTGGTCTTTGCCACGTGCTTCTTCTTCCCACTGTCAGAATCTGCAGGATATCTGGGTTTCAAGTTCGTTAAAAGCCTACACTGTTATTAATTTATTTTCTTCGATCTCGAGGAATTCATTCAAGTATTTTTCCAATACTGCCTCCATCCACTTTCCTATCTACATATGCATTTGTTTCCTCTTTGAGTTGATGTAAATACTTAGATCATTCTGCATTCAATTTTCGTATTTTACACATGTAAGACAGCACAAAAATCGCCAGTGTTACAACAGTTTTTATATATGAATAAACATTCCAGTCTAATTTAGATCATCATCTGATTCCACTTAGCTGGTCCTCGTTTAGTGGCACTGACCGTCCTGGTTATATAGTAAATAATGCAATAAAATTGAAAAATTAGTAATGCAACATAAGTGAAGCTTACTAGTTGACAATATGACAATACTAACAATTGAATTGCATATATATTGCAGAAAGCGCTGTAGACGAGCAGTTTACAATTAAGTATAATTAGCGTAACTAATTTGTGGATGAATTGTTGGATAAATGCGTGACACTTGACACCTCCACCCCACCTCTCACCTTCCCCTGGGATTGTATGTTGCATGATAACATAATTACTGCCAAGTTACCTGTGTGTGTGTATACTCACCTAGTTGTACTCACAACTGGGTTTCAACTCGCCTAGTTGTGCTTGCGGGGGTTGAGGTTTGGCTCTTTGGTCCCGCTTCTCAACTGTCAATCAACTGGTGTACAGGTTCCAGAGCCTACTGGGCTCTATCATATCTACATTTGAAACTGTGTATGGAGTCTGCCTCCACCACATCACTTCCTAAAGCATTCTATCTGTTAATTACTCTGACACTGAAACAAAATTTCTAATGTCGCTGTGACTCATTTGAGTATTAAGTTTCCACCTGTGTTCGTGTTCCAAGGTAATTCACTCTGTACTGGGCGCAGCTACTAACTCACACTCAAGCAAGGTCTGGCGGCGGCCTAGGTTAGCATGGCTAAGTTACTCCAACAGCTGGGGGAAACTTATCTGTTTACTATTTATTCAAGTCCACTACGGGCTCACCATAGCCTGTGCTACTTGGAATTTTTGTTCCGAGCAGCTGAATCTAAAACAAGAACTGCTGTGGGAATATTCTCTGCAAATTCTCCGGAACAAAACTAGTATAACAAGGTGCCAGAGAGAAATACATTTTTCGTATACTCAAGGAACGCGCCAAACTGATAGTCTCTACATTTGTAAAGAAACTTATGAAACAATGTGTTTCTCATCATTCAACATCACGAGGACAACAGTCTTGAGAAGCACCTAAACCTCCCTGTGGGATTTTAATCGGCAACAAATACTTGAGGGGTACTTATTAACTAAGGAATATGAAATGACTTTTCCCAGAGCCTTAACAAGCATAAGACCTGCACTGAACGGCACATGCTGGACCACAGGAAGCCCGTTGTTGAGCCTCCCGGGATGTGCCACCGACGGGCTGATGACCTGCTCTTGAATGCCTTCCCTTTTATGGGTGTTGGATCTTCTCAGTCCCAGTACTTCATTCTGAGTGCCCTTCACATGCCTCCTCCCCTACTACAGCCAAGAGATGGCAATGATCCATCATTTATGTAACTGCTCTTGTATTTATTTGTATGTTCCTGAATTACATTGCTAGGATCCGGACTTTGTTGTTAAGCGCTAGGCAACACCACAGACGCTAGCCACACGACTTTCCAATGTTTTTGTACAGTCAGTTGGCTGAGTGGTACTGGACACGCCTAGGGGCATGCATGCATGCATGGAAACTTCCTCGTGAAGGGTTCGAACCCAGACAGCTAGGTGCTCCATACACCTTCCCATATCTTGTACTTTACCCACAATAAAACAATTGAAAGTTTTCTGATATATATATATATATATATATATATATATATATATATATATATATATATATATATATATATACATATATATATATATATATATATATATATATATATATATATATGCAAACAAGCCTGAATGGTCCCCAGGACTATATACAACTGAAAACTCACACCCCAGAAGTGACTCGAACCCATACTCCCACAACTGGTATGTACAGGGACGCCTTAATCCGCTTGACCATCACGACCGGACAAAAGGAAGTGATAGCCGAGGCTATATGAACCACTTCCCCGCCGGCACTCGGATGGTAATCTTGGGCATAGCATTTTATCAAATCACCTCATTCTTTGGGGCACACGTGAGGAACACAAATGCAAACAAGCCTGAATGGTCCCCAGGACTATATACAACTGAAAACTCACACCCCAGAAGTGACTCGAACCCATACTCCCACAACTGGTATGTACAGGGACGCCTTAATCCGCTTGACCATCACGACCGGACAAAAGGAAGTGATAGCCGAGGCTATATGAACCACTTCCCCGCCGGCACTCGGATGGTAATCTTGGGCATAGCATTTTATCAAATCACCTCATTCTTTGGGGCACACGTGAGGAACACAAATGCAAACAAGCCTGAATGGTCCCCAGGACTATATACAACTGAAAACTCACACCCCAGAAGTGACTCGAACCCATACTCCCACAACTGGTATGTACAGGGACGCCTTAATCCGCTTGACCATCACGACCGGACAAAAGGAAGTGATAGCCGAGGCTATATGAACCACTTCCCCGCCGGCACTCGGATGGTAATCTTGATTACCATCCGAGTGCCGGCGGGGAAGTGGTTCATATAGCCTCGGCTATCACTTCCTTTTGTCCGGTCGTGATGGTCAAGCGGATTAAGGCGTCCCTGTACATACCAGTTGTGGGAGTATGGGTTCGAGTCACTTCTGGGGTGTGAGTTTTCAGTTGTATATAGTCCTGGGGACCATTCAGGCTTGTTTGCATTTGTGTTCCTCACGTGTGCCCCAAAGAATGAGGTGATTTGATAAAATGCTATGCCCAAGATTACCATCCGAGTGCCGGCGGGGAAGTGGTTCATATAGCCTCGGCTATCACTTCCTTTTGTCCGGTCGTGATGGTCAAGCGGATTAAGGCGTCCCTGTACATACCAGTTGTGGGAGTATGGGTTCGAGTCACTTCTGGGGTGTGAGTTTTCAGTTGTATATAGTCCTGGGGACCATTCAGGCTTGTTTGCATTTGTGTTCCTCACGTGTGCCCCAAAGAATGAGGTGATTTGATAAAATGCTATGCCCAAGATTACCATCCGAGTGCCGGCGGGGAAGTGGTTCATATAGCCTCGGCTATCACTTCCTTTTGTCCGGTCGTGATGGTCAAGCGGATTAAGGCGTCCCTGTACATACCAGTTGTGGGAGTATGGGTTCGAGTCACTTCTGGGGTGTGAGTTTTCAGTTATATATATATATATATATATATATATATATATATATATATATATAAACACATTACATTACATTATATATGATTTAGATTAAAATGTAATTATTCATATGGTAACTAATATTTCGGGTATGAGCATTAGGCTTTATAAAATGGTTTTAATGAAACATATCAATAATTCACTCTCCTGCTATTACAGGTGAGCGCTTCAGGTCCTGCAGGGTCACACATCCTCCAGTTTACAGGCAAGTTCCTGTTTCTTGTTTCGACGGAATTTATTTCAATGTCATAAAATAAATTTTCCAGGCAGCGTTCTCAATAAAGCAATTTACGAGAAATATCAAAGACCTTTCATTGGTTACGTGACTTCGTTGGTCACGGGGGCGCCACCCCTCCCCCCTTTGTTGGTCACTGGGGCACCCCCCCCCTTCGTTGGTCACGGGGGCACCCCCCCCCTTCGTTGGTCACGGGGGCACCCCCCCCTTCGTTGGTCACGGGGGCGCCACCCCTTCGTTGGTCACGGGGGCACCCGCCCCCCCTTTGTTGGTCACTGGGGCACCCCCCCTTTGTTGGTCACGGGGGCGCCACCCCCCCCCCTCCGTTGGTCACGGGGGCACCCCCCCCCCTTTGTTGGTCACTGGGGCACCCCCCCCTTCGTTGGTCACGGGGGCACCCCCCCCTTTGTTGGTCACTGGGGCACCCCCCCCCCTTCGTTGGTCACGAGGGCACCACCCCCCCCCCCCTCCGTTGGTCACGGGGGCACCCCCCCCTTTGTTGGTCACTGGGGCACCCCCCCCCCTTCGTTGGTCACGGGGGCACCCCCCCCCCTTCGTTGGTCACGGGGGCACCACCCCCCCCCTCCGTTGGTCACGGGGGCACCCCCCCCCCTTTGTTGGTCACTGGGGCACCCCCCCCCTTTGTTGGTCACTGGGGCACCCCCCCCTTTGTTGGTCACTGGGGCACCCCCCCCCCTCCGTTGGTCACTGGGGCACCCCCCCCCCTCCGTTGGTCACGAGGGCACCACCCCCCCCCCCTCCGTTGGTCACGGGGACACCCCCCCCTTTGTTGGTCACTGGGGCACCCCCCCCCCTTCGTTGGTCACGGGGGCACCACCCCCCCCCTCCGTTGGTCACGGGGGCACCCCCCCCCCCCTCCGTTGGTCACGGGGGCACCCCCCCCCTTTGTTGGTCACTGGGGCACCCCCCCCTTTGTTGGTCACTGGGGCCCCCCCCCCCTTTGTTGGTCACGGGGGCGCCACCCCCCCCCCCTCCGTTGGTCACGGGGGCGCCACCCCCCCCCCCTCCGTTGGTCACGGGGGCGCCACCCCCCCCCCCCCCCCCTCCGTTGGTCACGGGGGCGGCAAAGCACTTAATTAAATATGGTTTGGTAATAGGGTTGACGATTTATGGGACAAGAAAATATTACCGGGTAAGAAAATAGACATTTCTAGAATATTTAAGATTGATAAGGTAGGAATAGGAGGCTGCCTTTCAAAAGCTAATATGGCTTCTGAGGTTTTGTAATTGTTACGTTCCCTTTGTTTCTGGAGGATGGTTGTGTAGGAGTGTAGCAGACTGAGTATATATATATCCCTCTGTTGGTGACTATATCCTTATTTCTTGGAAAGAGCAGAAGACTCGGTCAATTACTTGATCACAATAAATAACTCCTCGAGGAAAAAGTAAAGTATTCTGAATTATGTTCTCTTGCAGTGTTCTGTTCTTTATTGTTTTCAGATGTATATTGCTATGTTCAGGTCCATAATGATGCTCTAATTTCTCTATTGCTGTATACTGTTCTATGTTCTCTAGCGTTGTTATGCTTTTATGTGTTACACAAACATAAACATTAGTTTGTTTATCGATTTGATAATGGTCCAGGGCGGACCGAAACGTCGTCATCTCTTCAATTTCTAGCGTGTGGATTAATCAACACATTAAACAATCCCGCATTAAGAACTTTTATCCCTAAGATCCTCTGTTGTTCTTGAGTTATTTGCCCTTACATCCCGCACATCCATATGCACCTCTCGTAAGCCTCCTTGGATCTGAGGTCTGTGGTGCCATCTGGAGAACGGTTGGGTATACGAGGCTTCTGGTAAGTCTTGTCAGGGCCTCTAATTGGATCTTACTGGTCGGGGGGGATGAAGGGCCGCTCACCCATAGAGTATCTGCGTTTATAAAGTATATCTTTGTCATTACTACGCAGGTATTTCGGTTTCATATCTTTGTCACAGTATTGTTTTGTTGAGTTACAGTTTAGCTAGATTTAGGGGTTAATAAAAGAGGAAGTATGGTTTGTACTTTATTTACAAGTAAAAAAAAAAACATATGACTTGCATAGGCAAGTTTAATGTTGGACTGGCCTGCAGAACAACTCTTAAAGGGAAGCCCATGAGGAGCGCGTGCGTGTGTGTGTGTGTGTGTGTGTGTATGTGTGTGTGTGTGTGTGTGTGTGTGTGTGTGTGTGTGTGTGTGTGTGTGTGTGTGTGTGTGTGTGTGTGTGTGCGTGCGTGTGTGTGTGTGGCGTGTGAGAGATGTGGACGTGTTTTATCTCAACTAAATACTCTCTTTTCTTCAACAACAAATATTCACATTAAAATGTCGTGGTGAACAGTGTGAACCATTTTAGTAGTGTCTGTGAGGGTCAACTGCCGCCACTCCTGCTCTACGTGGTGTTAATGTCTAATATTATATCTTAAGTATTACGTATTCCTCAACAATAGCATTAATATAAGTATAGAATATTATTATGTGGTTGTAAGAGTATTACAGAGCAGTAGTTGAGGCAGTCGAGCACTGGTGGTGGAGAGCATGGCTCAAGGTATTCCTAAGTTATGGCAACAAAGTTATATTTTATCATCTACAAAAATCTAGTTCTACTCGAAGAGAAGTTGGTGTGTGCGTCCAGTGTTGTAGAATTCGTGTTGGTCTTACGTGGTCAGTGTTGTAGATACGTGTTGGTCTTACGTGGTCAGTGTTGTAGAGTTCGTGTTGGACTTACGTGGTCAGTGTTGTAGAGTTCGTGTTGGACTTACGTGGTCAGTGTTGTAGAGTTCGTGTTGGACTTACGTGGTCAGTGTTGCCAGCCTCTCCTCCTGGGCCTCAGTTACCATTAATAACAAGTTTTTTAAACATTGCAAAACACATTGAAACATTTTGATTAAGGTTGTATCATGCTCGATATAACCACTGAAAGAACTATAAATACACGTATATTAAAATAATAAGTACAGATTGTTTTGGTTGAGCGAAGTAGTTCCACTTTCACGACAACACTTGACGTGACTCGTGGGACTGGCAGTCTTTGTCCTTAAAGTGATCACACCACTTATAAACATGGAGGTAAGTGAAGGGGGATAAATTAGGGGTCTATATACAGAGGGGAAAGTGCCGTCCCGCGCGACAGGACTGTACAAGCCAATAAGACTCTTGGTACGCAGGAGCTGAAGATGGCTTCTTCGGTGGTGCCCTCCTCAAGGTTCCCGCCTGGGAGGCCCTTGGGCGCCGCAACTTCGAGGAAGGACTCCGTGCACTCGTCAGACACAGGCGTCCTCACCACTTACGAGCGAGATTGTGTCTTTGGCGTCGTGGGACGACGAAGTAACGGACGCAGCCGTAAAGTTACTAACTGCAGTGGAGTGGTCGTAGGCAGGGACCTGATGTCTTCACTCGTCGCTGCGGCGGGATTATCACCATCCAGACTGTTAGTAAAAATGGAAGAGTGGGTTGGGGAAGAGGTAGCTTGGGTGCTGCTGTTCTGTGACCGGATTAGCTGCTGTAAGTCTTCTGAGTCTCTCGGGAAATGTAAGTCGCTGCTGCTTGACTGTTCCTGGAGTGAGTGTGAGGATGATGAATGACTGTTGTGTAGGAAGTTAAAGGTGTTGGTTAACTGGTGGTTTTGGAAGAGCCGCTGAAGACGCGGGGAAAGAGTAGATACAGTGAAAATAGAGTGTTGCGGAGGTGTGAGAAGTGTGCTGGAAGCGGTGGGGGGTTGACGGCCGTTCTTAGTGTGTGGCTGGTTGGCGGGAGTCACCACAAAGGACACGTTCAAGGGAGCTACAATGGGGAAGACATTGGTAGGTAGCATAACAGAAATTAGGTTGACTGGAGGAAGAGTGGCATGAGTGTGGAACGAAGTTAAAGATTTAGACTCCAGTGACGCTGGTGGTCTTGTGTTAAAAGCATTGTGTGGCGATGCAGTTTTGGGTGAGTTAAAAGGATTGACAGCTGTCGGCGTGCTTAATATTGGGGGTTGAGTGCTGAGGGTGACAGATGGAGGCGTGACTGGGGACGTCTCAGCGCTGAGCGTAGGAATGGTAGTCAGTTCTTGAGGGTTAGTGAGGGTCGTCGAGAGCAGCGTCGAAGGAAGGTTAGTGCCAGAAGTTATTAGTGAGGGACCTGTAACAAGGTCGGAAAGGTCAGTACGCAATGTCCTTACCTTACAATATAAATTATTAGTCAATGATAGAAGTAAATCATGGAGTGTGAGAGTCACACGAGTCAGCAGCAGGTCACGACAGGTCATGCGAGCACTGAGGTTACAAGCAAAGCGTTAGTTACCAGTAGAAGGGTTAGTTAAGTGGGATTTGCGTCTTCTATTTGAGAGACGAGCACCAAAGGGTAGGTTGGCTTCATGTCTCTGCGGGAACCCAAAATCCAAGTCATTTCTTGGTTGCTGACTGGCGAACTGGCCCCCTGAGAGGGACTTGCCCGAACTCCTGATATCAACACTGCCAATCGTATCGCTGAAAATAAAACAAAAAAATATGTATTGACGTGTTGTTATCCAACCGTTCATGTGTAACCTACAAACATAAGTGGCGTTTTAAGAAGATAGCAGTTTATTGTTATGCTTCATGATCAGGTCAAGGTGTAAGTCATTATCTATATGTCTGTTTATTGGCTGTGGTGATTGTGTTTTCCTGCCTGAGAGTCGTGAGTTACCCAAAACATGTCATACCTGTTGTATCCAGGGTCTCCAGGGGAGTCATACTTACTTCTTTACCTCCTGGCTCCCAGCCAGTGAGGCCTGTGGCGAGGTCTCGCCCTTAGCTACCTCAGTCTCCGTTTGGAGAGGGAGGAGAGGTATCGACTCTTTTGCAGCCTCATCACCTTCAACCTGTCTATTGTTAGTGTCTGTCTCGTTGAGTGATTGCTTCGTCTCATTCTCCTGTCTGGAAGTGCCGTGACTTCTGATTGTGAAATGGTCGGTGTGGCGGCTGCTGCCCCTTGGCCGCACTGCGTCCTTAGACAGCTGAGGAAACGACGGCCCAAATGGTCGACGAATGAGTTTTCGAAAACGTCTGCGCGGCAAACCACGAAAAGTGGCTTTTGTTGTCCCTTCTGAGGTAGTTGGAGTAAAATCTTCAGCTGTGGTAGTTTGAATAGGTGTGATAGTGGTAGTAGTAGTGGTTGTAGTGGTGGTTGTTGTGGTGGTAGTGGCAACTGTAGTACTGGGTGGCGCGGAAGTGTCTGGGGTAGGTGCTTCTGTTGTGGTCGTCACTGCATTTGGGATGGACTTCGATGGTTTCTCTTCTGATGCAGTAGATTTAGCGTTAAGCAGCGGTGTCCGAATCTTGCTTCTGGAGGTGAGAGAGTTACTCCAGGCGCTGTCCTTCACAGCCTGACCCGTCCCTCGCGCCGGGCGGGGGTTGTCAGGGGCGCCGCCCTCTAAGCCCTGGAAGTTGATCCTGCTCCTCTGTGAGTGGCCACCAAAGGAAACCCGAACACTCTGTCCAGGAGCCGAGTATTTGAAACTCGAACCTTCATTATTGATGGAACGGAAGCTACGCAAAAAGTTTTCCGATGGTGGCTGAGGAGTGGAGGCTTCCGACTGATTGTTTACATGTGTTTCGTTCTGAGCACCGAAAGAGAGGTTGGATGTTGAGTTAAGCGCCTGGGATTGACCCAAGCTCGAAGCAGTATTAGCAGAGGCTTCGTTCAGATTACGAACATCTACTTCGTCACGCAGAGAGAAGCTGGAAAGACGATGAGACGGCGTGAGAAGCCAGGTGCATGTTGAGCATTGCAGGCTGTTAGTGCGTTACGTTCACTTGCAGGGAAGACTAAAGTGTATTATGGTTATTCTTGCAGGCTTGGCAGTAAGTATACTGTAGTTAATCTTGAAGACTTCTGTCTCAGCGTTAGTAGCTACGGAATCTTTACCTATATTACAAAAGTAAGTCAGTGGCAGGCAGCGTGCTGTCTAGTAGTATGAGCGGGAGACAACATTTGTTAGAAATGTATATATATAATATATTTATTATATATATTATTATATATTATTATATATTATTATATATTATTATATATTATTATATATTATTATATATATATATATATATATATATATATATATATATATATATATATATATATATATATATATATATATATATATATATATATATATATATATATATATATATATACTCTCTTTGTTAAGCAACACAGGCGAAGTTAGTTGTGAGTAGAGATGTTAGCGTACAGTGAGTAAGTGAGAGGCAGCAACATGCATGAGCTGCGAGTAAATGAGTGGGTGGTGGTGGTGGCCTGCGTGCATGGCAACAGTGGAGACGTGGGAGGGGCGGAAAGAGTGCATGGCAACAGTGGAGACGTGGGAGGGGGCGGAAAGAGTGCATGGCAACAGTGGAGACGTGGGAGGGGGCGGAAAGAGTGCATCGCAACAGGTGAAACAGTTGGCTGAGGACGATGTCAACAAATACTTAAAATCCGAGCACCCTGTCAGTCGTGGTAACTTCACTAGGAACAACACTAGAGCAGTGTGGAAGAAAAAAGCTTCTATATTCTATAAGCTAAGAAGTTACTCGATCTCATCTCTGCAGAAACTTCGAACTAGATAGAGCATATGAAACCTCAATTCTTAACTGAGAGGTTGGCGGTGGGGTTCTAAGTTAGACGAACATCTGAAGAAGAAACTTCCGGGAAAGGGCTTCTTAGTGATGACGTTGAAAAATACGAGACTGCCGGGAAAGCTCGACAACTGGGTTTCTTCAGTGTCAGAGCTGCAGTTCTGAAGGTATTCAATACTAACTTTCAGGTGCTGGGGTTTAACGGCGAGGCTTCGCCCCTGCTCTCAAGAGTATATTCTGCGGGTTATGAAGGGCCCGGAAGTTCGTGGATTACTGGGAACATCTTGACAACAAGACCACCGTCGTTTGGTACACACAGCACAAGTTGAGAGACTTGTACAATATGGTGGCGGCCAAAGGGCTAAAGAGACTTTGTCGTACTGTTCAGTATGAGGTACCTAGAGAGGATACCATTCAGCTATACTCTACTCGAGCTACTGAAAGAGTCCGAGTATAAGCCATTGTACTAGTGACGTGGTAAGGTGCTTAAGGTCTTCAGTATGCTGTTAGGTTTGTGTAGAACACTCTTAGTGCCCTGTACCGCAGTGTTTCTTGGTCTCATAGTATTTTGTTGTCAAATGTCTAGGATGTTGATCAACAGTGTCATATATATATATATATATATATATATATATATATATATATATATATATATATATATATATATATATATATATATATATATATATATATATATATATATATATATATATATATATAGTATATATATATATATAGTATATATATATATATTTATATATATATATATATAGTATATATATATATATATATAGTATATATATATAATCTAAGAACTTTATATGACCCGGTCAGGATTCGAACCCATGACGTTCAGGATCACCCCAAACGTACATAGTACCATGACCACCGCACCACTTAGACGGTCAGCGGTGACTGTGACTGTGGCTAGGTCACTGACCTACAACAACAAGAGACTGTGCAACCTAGGAACAAGAAACTGTGACCTAGCCAGGACAAACTGGTCAGCTCTCAGGTGTAGACGCTCACACTGGTAACGTATGAGTGGGACGTTGTTACTGGTTGGTTGTTAGTTTACATGAGAACATTCAGTGTTGGAGCATACAAATAATTATTTTCCTATTTAAGTGTAGTCTTAATATTTTCATGTATTCCATAAACTTGATTTATTTATGTAACCAAATTTGTGACAACAACTTACATTAACATTCAGTATTTTGCTGATGTTACGAAAAAATAATCTGGCATGCACATGTGTTCACCCATATTACAGGGCTTCAGGGCAAGTGAAGCTTTAGGATGGTGTTTTGGGTATATAAACGGGGCTCCGAATGTTGATATTTAAAAACCAGGTGTGGGAATGGGATCAGGATGTTGGTCCCTACTCTGAAGAAGGATGGGAAGTGGGTACGTACTCTGAAGGAGAGTGGGAAGTTGGTACCTACTCTGAAAAAGGATGGGAAGCTGGTACTACTCTGAAGAAGGATGGGAAGTGGGTACCTACTCTGAAGGAGAGTGGGAAGTGGGTACCTACTCTGAAGGAGAGTGGGAAGTTGGTACCTACTCTGAAGGCGGGTGTGAAGTGGGTACCTACTCTGAAAAAGGATGGGAAGCTGGTGCTACTCTGAAGAAGGTTGGGAAGTGGGTACCTACTCTGAAGGAGAGTGGGAAGTGGGTACCTACTCTGAAGGAGAGTGGGAAGTGGGTACCTACTCTAAAGGAGAGTGGGAAGTGGGTACCTACTCTGAAGAAGGATGGGAAGTGGGTACCTACTCTGAAGAAGGATGGGAAGTGGGTACCTACTGTGAAGGAGAGTGGGAAGTGGGTACCTACTGTGAAGGAGAGTGGGAAGTTGGTACCTACTGTGAAGTGGAGGAAGAAGAGACGGGGGGGGGGGACGCTTACCTGTTGTTAGGAGGGCTGTAGAGCTGTTTGCTGTCCACTTGGCTTCTGACCTCCTGGTTGAAGCTCCTGGAGATCAAACCAAAGTATTATCAATACTCGCCGTTTTAGCGTTCTTTAGAATGTAGATTATTTACAAACTCTGTGACTACTCCATTTGCTTAGCGTTGATGATACGAATGAAAACACGCCTTTCATCACTATGAAAAGAATCATCTTTGTCTCTAACAAACTCTAAGTTACTAATGGAAGCTAAAGTAGGTTACTTCATTAGAGAAGAGTTACATGCATGACGTAGCCAAGTTAAATCCAGAACAGGTCCAGACTCAGATCATTAGTACTTACAGCTGGCCGGCCTGAGGGCTTGTGGGCACATCCGGTACCTTCTGGACGGAACTGTTGAAAGAACTTTATATTAATAATCCATACGCCTCCTCGTGCTGTAAGGTGTCTAAACACCTCCTAATTTTCCTGCCTTACCGACTAATCTGTTTCTTCTACATGAGACACTCATGTAGAGTGTCAATATATATTGTGCCTCATACGGCATCTATTGTTCATTTGCGGAGTTCAACTAAAGTGCCATAAATTGTAACTGTATATAGTGCCGGGTAGGCCTACCACTCGTTGTATCTACATAGAGCAGAGGATACCCTGCCTGGACCTGTGGTTCTGAACAACACACTGGAGTGACCCATTAGGTTCACTTCTAAAACAGTGTGACCTACAGGGTATATTACTACAGTGGTGTGCCCTTCGAGGCTCATCACTACAGTGGTGTGACCTACATGACAGATCTCTACAGTGGTGGGACCAAGGAAGGTAATCACTATAGTGGCATGTTAACTGACCAGTACAGTTGAATGATTGGTAGATCTGAACCCAACACTGATGTAACCTGAAGAACTGGCCGCTACTTAGCTGACCCCAAGCACTGACTAGGGCTATGACAGGGTTTCCATGCTCTACAATGGTATGGTTACTATACTCTGGCCTCACTCCCGTACAAAGAACAGCATCACACTAGGCTAATTCCTCCTACTAGTTTCGTTTCTGATAAGCAACACAGCCTATTAATGATCTATATATATATATATATATATATATATATATATATATATATATATATATATATATATATATATATATATATATATATATATATATATATATATATATATATATATATAACTGAAAACTCACACCCCAGAAGTGACTCGAACCCATACTCCCAGGAGCAACGCAACTGGTATGTACAAGACGCCTTAATCCACTTGACCATCACGACCGGACATAATGAGGTGATAGCCGAGGCTATTTGAACCACCCCACCGCCGGCACTCGGATAGTAATCTTGGGCATAGCATTTTACCAAATCACCTCATTCTTTGGGGCACACGTGAGGAACACAAATGCGAACAATTTTGTTCGCATTTGTGTTATTTGTTCGCATATATATATATATATATATATATATATATATATATATATATATATATATATATATATATATATATATATATATATATATATATATATACACACACACGAGTGTGAGCCTAAACTGAGTATACAAAAAACATTCAATTCGTCATCACACTTACCTGATCGGCGTGTCGAGCTCTGGGTTTTGAGGGAAAGGCGGGAAGGTGGGGAAGGAAGAAGAGATGCGGGTGGAGTCTGCAAGTGGTATGGAACCCATGTCGGCTGTCTTTACCTGTGGCGAGGCTGCGGCCACGGGCACCCCTATGGCGTCCTGACTCCCTGCTGACGAGAAGGTAGCTTCAAGCAGGTCGGGTTGCAAGTCGGTGGAAAACTGAGGTACTGATTGACTCGATCCAGAGTCGACAAAATTCTGACTGACTAGATTTCCTTCTATTACAGAATTTGTGAACGATGAATCCGGAGAAAGCTGTTGTTGTGAAATATCATTATTATTTAACTGGATGCTATCAGAACTTTGAGAGTGTTGAGAAGAGGCAATATAAGACCTAACAAAGTTCCCTGGGACGGCAGAACTATCGTCTTGAGAGGAGCTCGAAGGGAACTGCTCCAAGTGTTGGGAGGGAACATTTGCGTTGGTCTGAATGGAAGCAATTGGCCCAATAACATTTGCTTCTAACACAGAACCACCGGACGAGGCTTCCTGGGAGATATCTCTTGGTGCATCCTTATTATTGAACTGAATATCTTCAGGAGACGGTGTTATAGGAGCGTGAGACGCAACTAAGTTGCCCTCCACCACAGAACCTCCGGACACTGAACCTTGAGAGTACTGAATATCTCCAGAACTTTGAGAATTATCCACTGGAGCAATGGAGGACGCAACTAGGTTTCCTGGAGCAATTGAACCTCCATTTTGTAATGATCCAGAAGACGATGCATGAGACAACTGCTGAGTTTCTCCAGACTGTGGCTGCCCGACGTTCTGAACATCAGGCTGTGACACAGACACACTCGAAAACTGACCCGATTGAGCAAAGTTGCCATCTAAAAAGCTCAAATTCTTTGCATCCGGTATGAACTGAGCGAGTTTGGCCTCTTTAATTGTATATCCCTGGGACTGTGAGCCTAAGGAATCATCCAGGTTCGTCCTCACATACCGAGGATTGTCAATACTAATCCCTACGAGCTCGCCATCAGAGATCTGCTGCTGCGACAACGCGGGAGCCTCTACCACCTGCAGACCACCGCCCTCACTCTGCGAGAAGCCTTGTTGGCCATAGGTTGGGGAGAGGCTGGAGTCGACGATCTGCGGGGCGTTGAAGTGGACGTCTCCAGTAACGCCAAGTTGATTCACCGTCAGTTGGCTGAGGAAGACACATGCAACAAGTCCATTATCATGCGTGTCAACTTTTGCCTCAACAAACCTCCCCCCACCACACAAACACACACACTTGTTTGCATCTACTCCCCGTCCAGACCACAAGCAACTCATCGGTATAGAGACCAACACGTGTTTATATATTTACACCTCTTACAACGAGTGGTTTTGTCGCCATTTTGTAACGGGTGCAGAAGAGACTATGTCTCAACCATTTTCTTTTTAGACTTGCATTAATGTTTCTCTTTTAGGTGTAATCAGATGAAATTTATTTATTATAAAAAAAACTCAATTATGAAATTTGTTAATATTCTGAAATATTAATCAAGAATATCCATAATGGTCCACCAGCAGAGTGTGTTTCTCAGGCAGGTATTTATATGTTCCCTGTTGACCGTCTTCGGCAGAGACTAGAGGAATACTTTAATGAAACTGTTTACATACAAATTCTAATTAACCTTGAACGATATATTTTTTGAACAAAGCGAAATGTCTTTTGGCATTTCCATTTATTATTCGCGCCTTACCTATCCCGGGGGCGGTGTTGGGGAAGGTTGTCGAAACACATAATAGGCTCAGGAACTGAACCCTAGAAGTCTCTTGGCCCAGAGTGTACGTGTTGTTCTGTTTATAAGTCAACAGAACTTGTTAGAAAGGATTTTACGAACATATTTTTTATTCTTTAAAATCTGTTAACGCTCAGTGCATTCACTGACAATCTCACGTAGGAGGGTGAGTCGGTTGCTCGTAGACCACAAACCCAGTCGACACTTGGGCGACACCTGGCCGACAAGGTGCAGTAGCCTGCATCTTGTCTCGTCTCGTTAGCCTTAATTAATGTTCCGGTCTTCGCCATGCTCTTTACGGAACTCTCCCTCAATAACCCATTGCCATTTGGCCGACCTGCTCTCAGGTGTTATTTCCTGTCTCACAAATGCAGCAAGTAAAGACATCGTGCAACAAATACATTACATTGTCATATGAATGTGTTACGTATACAGTCTTATGTATACAGGGGTGGTGTTAAATGGTGTCATGTATACAATGGTGTTAAGTTTGTTACGAGCCAAGATAATTACTTCCCCTCGTCAACTGAAGCTGTCCGATGTTTCCGGTATTCTTTACTTCAGTGTAATCTACTTGTGTTGTATGTTACAACACAAGTCTGTGTGTCCACACTGTACACTTGTGTGTGTGTCGACACACACAGTCTCTCAAGTGTTGAGAGCACTTCCCCATTGGACATGCTGAACACTGTATCAGGCATTAGATGTAAACTGTGAGGATGTCATTATCTCAGTGTTTCTGGAGCAAAATCTCTATTTGGAGAAATGGCGTTGAATGGGGTGAGCAGTGTGGGTGTCGGAGGGACAGATTTTGGGGTTGAACGCCGTTGGTTGTGTGTGTGAGATAGTTAGCATTAAAAAACAAATACTGTTCTATTGTTAGAAGAAAATGAGAGTTCGGTGGTTAAGGTCATTGCCATCGTGAGTTCTGTCTACTGAATGCATTTGTTAAGTGAGCGACGATACTCAAAGAAGCAAGACTTACCCCTGATCCACCACTGTCCCGGATGTAGACTGTCCAGCCACGCCTGGCGCAAAGGGATGTTGTGGTAATGAGTACACTTGAGGAATACTCTCGACGATCGACGCCCCTTGTGGCTGTTCATGTAAGGTGTTTATTTCAGGCCCTGAGTAGGACTGGGAAGGGGGCTGGAGGACCTGTCTCACATCAGCCGGGACTATGTAGCTCTGGGTAACATCCACAGGTCCTTGGCTGCTGTAGAAAATATATTTAGTTAATTATATATGTGTGGCGGAAATGTGAAACCCATTTTTAGTTATTTTAATTCGAGTTGCACAACTGTGAGAAAAATATTCATGCAAACCGTGTTATAGTCATTTATGGATGTGCTAAACTATTGCTACGGCAAGTAGCGCCTCGTGCATAAGTATGGGTGCTTGGAGATGCGAGTAGTGGCAAGACTAGTCTCTCAGACGCCGCCAACCTTCTGCTGATGCGATTTTGCTGACCGACAGGACTTAAGATGGACGCGATGGTGTTGGAGGCTTGAGGTAGAGGACTGGACTCGAGGTGTCCCTCTACCGTAGCCAGTTGCAGCTCCACCACAGTAGGCGCTGGGTAGAGCGGTAACGGTATGTACACCTCTGGAATGTAGGCAGGGCTACCAACTGGAGGCAAGAAATAGGTCAGGTTAATGACCGGGTGCGACAGTTGCGCACCTGGGGAGTTGTGGGAACTGAATGACCAGGGAGACGGAAATACCTCATTAAGGCCGCCGTTGACATGTCCTGATGCTGAACCTTCAGAGATACCAGCTAGCGTGTTGTCTTGTGATTTAAACTCTGAAAACTTCAAGTCATCTTGTGCAAAATCTTGAAGTTGACGAGTCTGCTGAACAACATATTGCTTGTCTGGATTCTTGAGAGACTGTAGGATATCGTTGTTAAAGTCCATATCTTGGCTTACAGCAAAACTATGAGGACCATCTATGGCTGCGTCGGGCGTGACTACGTATGGACCTGGATCCACAATAATTTCTATGTTCATATTTATTGCCGGTGGCATATGGAGAAGTTGATACGGAAAACTGGGAAAAGAAGGACTATGGTCAGGCAGGATGGAGAGGGAATCCTCACTGAGGATACCACTCAGTACACCTCCTGTGCTTGTTGATGAAGTCTGCGCGTTCTCGTCATTAGAGGTGAATGAAAAATCATTAGTTTGTTCAGTGAGTTGAGAAATTGGTTGCCGCTCCAAAACTGTGTTGTCAAATATAAGGACGTTTGGAGCAGAGGTTGTCAGGGGTTGAGTTTTTAACTGAAATGGAATTGTAGTTGCTGGTTGATAAGTTGGATAAGAGACAGAAGGTGAAGGGAAGGTCGCGGGAGACGACGGACCTTCCCTAAATGACTGACTTGAGAATGTATTTGTCTTTTCTTTGTTAGAACTGGGCAAGCTAATAGCTTCTTGAATGCTTGTAGGAGCCACTGGAGTCAGAGGAAAAGGTGTAGAATAGTCAAAATTTAAACGATTCTCCACGACATTGTTTTCCGAAGACTGGGCGACAAGACGAGAAAGAGCAAAAAGTTGCATTGCTCCTGGGACGTAGGGAGGAATATTTTGCTTGTGTGTGTTCTCAGGGGCAGTAGACGGGAAGTCTGGGGTAGGAGGAGGACTTTGCTCTCGAAGACCCACAGGGATGAATGGGGTAAAGTCTAGATTTCGAAAGTCTTCGGTTATGTCAAGAAGCGGGAGAGATACGGAGCCAAGAACAGATGACGACTGATAATTGTTCTGTGGCTTCTGAGAGGGAATATTGTCACAGGATTTCTGGTGTCCGGCAATGACAGCAGTCAGGACGCTTCGCCGGGACTCTACAAAATCACCAGTTGAAGATTCTGAATCATGTGCTGAAAAAATAAATCTCTGCTCTTCTCTGACGGTGTTTGGGATATCTAAGCTACTAGAACTAAAGTTATCGTTCTGGTCAACTGTTACTAAGTCACCAAGTGTTTCAGTGTTCCGTAATGTAGGAGGTACATTTGTATTGTCCCAAATTATGTTAGCATTGTACCCACGGGCTGGGGTCTCGTAGATGACTGTGAAGGGAGCGCCGCTAGTAATGGTCACAACACTGGGATCAAAGCTGTAAGAGTTCTTTGAAGACACGACGTTGTTTTGATCGACAAGGCCAAGTAACTGGCCTTCAGTAGTTTTGTGAGAGTGTTCCGACAAGTTAACAGAGTTAATGTAGCTGTTAAGAGGGACATTACTTTCCCCTGGCTCCGTAATGATTAGATTGCCTCTAGGTACTCTCTGTGTTCCACTGAAGTTAGCAGAAGAAAAGTGCGAACTGATGATATCGCCGCGTACTTCAGAGTCTAGGAAAGTCTCAATATTATCTCCAGAAATATTATCGTCACTGATCAAGATCGTGTTGCCAGGCGCCTGTAGGTCGCTAGACGAGTCCTGGTTGTTGTTAAGCAACACCGTTGATGTAGTGTGTTGCGGGTCTTCCTCGAGGACAAAGATAGGCGTGATGGGTGGAAGCGAGGAGCCTCGCTGGCCGCTGGAAGGGGTTGGGGTCAGCGGCGAAGTCACAATACTGGTGCTAGTTAAGCGGCCATTACCGCCTAGTTCTATATGGACTCTGTAGGTTACCAGGGATGTTAGTTAGGCAGATTAGTACGTCATCAACTAGCCAAAGATATTTCATATTGAACTTAGCAAATATTGTTATACTTTTTATAATATAGCAAATATCTTTGACTAATTTTGAATGTTAGATGTTTGGTTTAAATTGAATATCATAATTAGTGGCGCTTAAGTTGTTAATGATTAGAGTTTTGTTTTTAAGCGTTAGTATTAGAGCAAGCAGGTTAGTAAGCGTTTTATTTATTATTAGTACCAAAAACCTATTTAATAGCCAGCACTCTTAAAAGTGTTAGAACATATTAAGAAAATAAACTTAGAACATAAGTTAGAAAATATTAGAACATATTCATACATGATAAACCACATATACAACCATCCTCCAGAATGTATAGTCCTTCATAGTTACTATGGGTGGAACGTAAATTAACTTTTTATACAAAAGTTCTTAAGTGTTACCTAACCTGTCCTAGGCCTAACCTGTCTGGTTTCCAGACAGGTTACCAGACACTCCAGAGCGACGACCAGAGCGCAACTCCATAGTCTCCTGAGACTGATGGATGCCCACTACTATGCGCTATGAACGGCAAAGAAAAGTGTTTGGTTGTTGCCTTCTTTCTCTGTTTCTCTACAAAATACTAGAACAAAACTTGGGCTTTTTCCATGAAACAGTACATCTTTGCACATTCATCCCACAGTAGCTATAAGTACTATCATTTTGGGATGACAGTTTGTTATATATACATGTGCGATTGTGTGTGCATGTATTCACCTAGTTGTGCTTGCGGGGGTTGAGCTCTGCTCTTTCGGCCCGCCTCTCAACTGTCAACCAATCAACTGTAACTAACTACTAACTAATGTTCCCCCCCCCACACACACACACACCCAGGAAGCAGCTCCGTAATAGCTGTCTAACTCCCAGGTACCTATTTACTGCTACGTAACAGGGTCATTAGGGTGAAAAAGAAAATTTGCCCATTTGTTTCTACCTGGTCCGGGAATCGAACCCGGGCCACAGAATTAGGAGTTCTGCGCGCACGCGCGCGCGCGCGCGTGTGTGTGTGTGTGTGTGTGTGTGTGTGTGTGTGTGTGTGTGTGTGTGTGTGTGTGTGTGTGTGTGTGTGTGTGTGTGTGTGTGTGTGTGTGTGTGGAGGGGGGGGGTCATCCTCCTGTTTAGGGAGTACTTACAGTAGCGATGAGAACCATCGTACAAATATTGACGTAAAAGGCAATTAGAAAGTAGAAATCGGTACTACTGAATTTGGACAAACCGGAAAAGTTGTTGTACTGATGTTGCAAAGAAAACTTGACCTAACCTAACCTTCCTAGGCCTAATGCACGCATATATGAGGCCTAATATAGTGCATATATGCGTTATACTAGGCCTAGGAATAATTTAGTTTGTGTTTTAGCTAAATTTTTTTCAGACTCAGTAAAGTGAATAGTACCAAATTCTACCATATAACTGTCCATTACGTCCATGTATGTACGATTGTTCACATTGTTACAAAAAAGTAGTATCAAATAGTAAAAGTAGTATCAAGTAGTATCACTCACACCACATAGTTGGTGTGAGTGTGCGTGTACCAGAAGTAATCCTTAGCATGTAAGGAGTCAGCTGGTGGAGTGTGAGCACCGGTCCGTGTGTCAGACCATCAAGGTCCTCCTCCCCGCGGCCCTGCGCACCCTGACCCGGGAACACAGCCAACCTGCTCTTCCTCCTCCTGGTGGCCGTAGTGGTCACCAAGCTCTTCCCCGTCCTGGTGGCCGTAGTGGTCACCAGGCTCTTCCCCCTACAATCTTGATGAGCTAGTTACAAAATTCAATATAAGTCATCACATCAACAATGGGTTCGAGATCGACCTCAAGTTCAGTCCCTGAGCCCATTATGTGCCTCTGTAACCCTTTCCACTACCGCCCACAAGATGGGTATGGGGTGCATAATAAATGAACTAAACTAACTAACTAGCTCTTCCTCCTCCTGGTGGCCGTAGTAGTCACGAGTTATGATATATTGACCGCGTTTCCCGGATGGTTACCCGCCGGTAATCTTGATAAAGGCAACACAAGTGCCACGAGTATTGTCGTGAACAAAGAATGTAGTGAGCGGGGAGGCGCTCTCAGGGCTGTGATCAGCCTGTAGCAAGTTATCCAGTGTCTCCAGAAGGGCGAGACTGGTCTCTCTAAGACACGCAGCAGGGGACTCATATCAACACACATCACTCTACGTGTTAAGTTAGTGAAGGGGAAGAAAGGAGAGAAGGAAGGAGAGAAGGAAGAGGGGTTAAGAGAATGATAGGTGGACGATTTGAGAGGGGTACTAGAAGTGAGGTGGGTACTCACCCGTCCAGGATGGTGGCTGGTGCTGGAGACTCCGGCGCTGGAAGTGCCTGTAACATGCCGCCACACATTATACAAACTATGAATTATATCGTGTTTTAGAATTATTATTATTTGGATTTGTCTTAGGCTAGGGCGAAGGGTGAGAGGTAGACCCCTTCTTTATTTTAACAACGAAGCTCAACTTTAAGGATTTACATATTATAACAATGTTTTTTTTTTCAAAATTTGAGATTAAGAAATAATAATAATAAATGTTATGAAACTGTAAACATTGTCAAGAGGACAATATAACAATCAGCGTCTATGTGATCCTGGCTCTAACTTGCTCTCAAGACTCTAAGGACTTGATAATGAACCTCTCGAATCTTCGTGTACTTACAATTGACTGTAACACTTCAACGTGATTATCGACGAGAAGATCTTGTGAGCCGATACCTGATGAACGAAGATAAGTATTAATAATGACACAAAAATTACACAGAAGAGGTTCAACTAACCAAGAAAAAACTATTGACGATTCGGTGAATCTGTCAACTATTATATAGTCAATTTTAAAGACAATGTAATTTGTTTTGGGTAAATGTATACACGACCTTTAACAGTTTTCGTAAGAAATCATTTAAACTGATATAGTACAGTACCCATTATCTGGCACCTGGATTAAACTGCCAAAGAATATATTTGACAAAAAGATGAAATTATCTTGTCTCTGCTCATGATTTTGATATCCACTAATATTCAGCGTAAGCTTTTAGCACAAAAATTAAACCCACAATACGAAACATAACTGGTGGCGTGTCAGACAAACATAGAGGGTCAGGAGGGAGTGAGAGATGTAAACAAACATGGCGTCTCCAACTCACTCTCGCCCTCAGAAGAGATGAAGGTGGGCTCAGCGGCGATGATGGTGGGTTGTTGGCTGTGGGAGGTGGGCTGGCCCTGGCCCGAGGCGCCGTAAGACAATGTTTCCTGGTGCTCCACCAGGCGGGGGTCTCTACCGGACCTGTGGGACGCGAGGTTTGGAGCTCTTAGTTTTGGTCATTTGGAGTCATATTGAGAGTAGCGATAAGAATCATATTAAGAGTAGTGTTGGAGGAGCCATGATGCCTATGTAAGGATACACTAACACAAAAGCTTTATCATCACCCTTCCATGCCTGAAAATGTAAGAGTATTGACCCTTTTTTCCAAAATAGGCACGATAGATTACCCCATTCCCCCTCTCTGCACCACAGACAATGTTAGTTGTCCTAGCCTATCTTCCCCCCCCCCTCCCCCCTCCCTCTCCCCACACAGGCATATGTGGGTGAATAGCAATGTATATGAGCCCCACACGGGGAAATACAGATAATGGGTCCGAGATATTGACCAACCGGTGACTTGCAGTCGAGCAGGAGTTATGACCCAGTGTGATTCGTTTATTAAGTGAGAATAGTTCGCAAATTAGGTCAATAATAAGAAATTGCAATACGAACCCCATACAATTAAAACCGTACTATTACTAATATAAATATATTAACCTGAGCCTCCCGGATGTGAACCAATAAACATAACGACAACATTACACCTGCACAATAACATCACAGGAGCGAGGTATATCTCTGGGAAAATCTTTGGAGCAACGTAGATGCATCGAGCTCAGGCCCCACCAAGAGAGGCAACCCCGCTATACCCCTTCAACGAGTTAGGGTTTTGGGGGTGGGGATGGGGGAGTTTACACCATGACTAAATCTAGGGGAGATATACTCCTCTTCTTGGTTTATATATATATATATATATATATATATATATATATGTCGTACCTAGTAGCCAGAACTCACTTCTCAGCCTACTATGCAAGGCCCGATTTGCCTAATAAGCCAAGTTTTCATGAATTAATGTTTTTTCGTCTACCTAACCTACCTAACCTAACCTAACCTAGCTTTTTTTGGCTACCTAACCTAACCTTACCTATATATATAGGTTAGGTTAGGTTAGGTAGGGTTGGTTAGGTTCGGTCATATATCTACGTTAATTTTAACTCCAATAAAAAAAAATTGACCTCATACATAGTGAAAAGGGTAGCTTTATCATTTCATAAGAAAAAAATTATAGTAAATATATTAATTCAGGAAAACTTGGCTTATTAGGCAAATCGGGCCTTGAATAGTAGGCTGAGAAGTGAGTTCTGGCTACTAGGTACGACATATATATATATATATATATATATATATATATATATATATATATATACATATATATATATATATATATAATGTCTAACACCTTTATGTAAATGCTTCAGAAATGGATCATATGGATGCGTTTCCAGTTATACTGTTTATATAACGGCCTAGTTATTATTTACACGTTAGAACCTGTTGGAAGATAAACGTCTCCAAGTTTTATTATTATTACTATACGTTTCAAGCGCTTACAGTCCAAAATAGTTATGCCTGAGAACATGTCAGAGGAACACTGATTATAAACTGATTAACGTCATGAAGAGAGCCTCGTGATCTTGCAACTGTGGGAATATATACTTACGATTCACTTTCGGAGATAAAGATTGGCTTGACTTCGACTATCTGTGCTCCGCTCTGCAATCCCTGCGACGGCAGCAAGTTGACTTGAGCACCCACATCGTAGTTAGAGCTGATTGGGTTGGATTCTACGATGTGTGACCCGCTCTGCAACCCTTGGGGTGCTAGCAAGTTGCTTTCGGCACTTACACCCAAGTTGGAGATGATTGGTTTACCTTCGACTATCTGTCCTCCGTTCTGGAATCCTTGCGAAGTCAGCAAGTTGACTTGAGCACCCACATCGTAGTTAGAGCTGATTGGGTTGGATTCTACGATGTGTGGCCCGCTCTGCAACCCTTGGGTTGCTAGCAAGCTGCTTTCGGCACTTACACCCAAGTTGGAGATAATTGGGTTGGCTTTGACGATCTGTGCTCCGCTCTGCAAACCTTGCGAAGTCAGCAAGTTGACTTGAGCACCCACATCGTAGTTAGAGCTGATTGGGTTGGATTCTACGATGTGTGGCCCGCTCTGCAACCCTTGGGTTGCTAGCAAGCTGCTTTCGGCACTTACACCCAAGTTGGAGATGATTGGGTTGGCTTTGACGATCTGCGCTCCACTCTGCAGCCCTTGGGTGGGCAGCAAGTCGGATTGAGCTCTCCCATCGAAGTTAGAGCTGCGACGGAAGAAAACGGGGTAACCTTACAAGAGTACAGCAGTGATTAAGATCGTAATACTTTATATATTCCTAGTCAATACTGGGAGCAGGGAAGCTTAATGATGATGGAGTGAGTGGTACAGTTGTGTGAGAGTGGTACAGTTGTGTGAGAGTGGTACAGTTGTGTGAGAGTGGTACAGTTGTGTGAGAGTGGTACAGTTGTGTGAGAGTGGTACAGTTGTGTGAGGGGGGGGGGGTACACTTATTAGATAGTGGTAAGGGTGCAACAATTATGTGGTGATGGTACGAGTGTGAAAGAGAGAGGTACAATTGTAAGTAGGTAGTACAATGAAGGGTTGGTGGTGGTGGTGCAATAATGGGTGAGCGGTACAATTATAATTAGTTGTGGGTGGTGCAACGAGTGAAGGGTTGCATAGTGATAATACGCTAGTAGATGATACAGTAGCAAATAGTGACCGAGTGATATAATGACAGTTAAGTGGTACGACGATGGACGAGTACTGTAATACAATGACGGGCGGCCGTTGTATTACATAACGATGATTCCATAATGAAGGTCACTGTGAGTGGTAATTAGTGAGGGTGTATAATAATGGGTGGATGGTAGCGTTACAATGATTGAAGAATGGGAGAGTGGGGTGGATGTGAGGGTGGATGATGAGTGGAACAGAAAGTCAGCGAGCACCTCCAATATTTCATCAGGTTTATCACTATACTCGCTCCTAGCCACCTAGCAGCTGGCAATTGCAAAAAAAAAGGACTAGATCACAATGGCTTCGTAGGGCAACTTGAGTCTAATGGGAAGCTGTTAAAATCAGTTAAATATAGCTAATAATAATGTTATAACAGTTATGTTCACGTGTTATTCGAGAACCAACAACCCGTGACAGAAACTGAAAACGTGAATTGCATCTTAAATATACTCACCCAGGAGGGTAGACGGGAACAGGGGCGGGAGACCCATGATCGGGGAATGGGTTAACGATGGCGGGTGCTACTGGAGCTGCCACCTGCATGGGTATCCACGGAGCGTTGTCGCACGCGGTGCAGTCGGGCTTGGTGGGCAGGCGACGGCCAAAGTTGGCCCCGCTAGCGGCGGAGGCGAGTGTTGGGGGTATGTAGCTGCCTGCAAGAGTACCGGCGGAGGCGGCAATGGGGCCAGGAAGAGGCCCAAGAGGTACCGGAGGGGGTATATACTGGTCAGCTGGAGCATCCGCTAGAGGGAGGACGTACTGGTTGGTGGGGAGGGGCGCTGGAAGGGGTGAGTTGTTTCCAGTGGGCGCCAGCTGGAATAGTGGTGGAGGAGGGATGTACTGGTCGTTTGGCGCAGGTACTGGAGCAGGAGGAGGAGGGACATACTGGTTGGTTGGAGAGTTTGCCAGGGGAAGTGGAGGTGGGGCGAACAGTCCTGGCTGAGGGTGTTGCTTTTGTTGGGGACCAAGAGGTGGGCTGTAGCTTTCTGGTGGAGGAGGACCAAGAGGAGGAAGAGGTGGGCCGTAATTGTCTTGAGGTGGAGGTGGGCCATAATTGTCTTGAGGTGGAGGTGGAGGAGGTGGGCCATAATTGTCTTGAGGTGGAGGTGGGCCGTAATTGTCTTGAGGTGGAGGTGGAGGTGGGCCATAATTATCTTGAGGTGGAGGTGGAGGAGGTGGGCCATAATTGTCTTGAGGTGGTGGAGGTGGGCCATAATTGTCTTGAGGTGGAGGTGGAGGTGGGCCATAATTATCTTGAGGTGGAGGTGGAGGAGGTGGGCCATAATTATCTTGAGGTGGAGGTGGGCCATAATTATCTTGAGGTGGAGGTGGAGGAGGTGGGCCATAGTTACCTGTAGGTTGGGAGATGATTATATCACCGCTCTTGGGATGACCGTAATCTGTGGGAGGAGCTTTAGGTGCACCGTAGGTAGGCTGTGGTGGTGGAGGTGGTGGACCGTAGCTGGGTTTGGGAGGCGGGCCATAGCTAGGTTTGGGAGGAGGAGGAGGAGGCGGGCCATAGCTAGGTTTAGGAGGCGGGCCATAGCTAGGTTTAGGAGGCGGGCCATAGCTAGGCTTGGGAGGCGGGCCATAGCTAGGCTTGGGAGGAGGAGGAGGAGGCGGGCCATAGCTAGGTTTAGGAGGCGGGCCATAGCTAGGCTTGGGAGGCGGGCCATAAACAAGAATTGGCTGAGGTGCGTAATCTTGTTCAGGTTCTTTGTCCCCTCCTTTACCCTTGCCGAAGCTGAAGAGATCCTTGAAGCCTCCAAATATATCGAAATCGAACAGCCCCTTGTCCTTGCCCTTGCCTTTGGAGGAGGACTGTGGAGGTGGAGGGGGTGGAGGAGGCGGATGAGGAGCAGCGTAGACAGCGGGCGGGTAGGACCTCTCCTGGACGCTGTGAGCAGCAGTGACGGACAGTCCACTGACGACCATCGCCACCACCATCGTCGCCACCTGCCGGCACACACACACACACATTACCAACAGTTACATGTTAGAATAAAGATTCTTCACAGTCGCGTCATCAACAGTTAACAGTGACTCGGCTACTGAGACAATGATTATCTAACTACGCAATAGCACGTAATCAAAACAAAGTAATCCATTGGTGGTAAATTGCCAGGTCCGTGGGCAAGATTGATAAGAATTTTAAGTCACGATTCGGAAGAATCTGAGCAGTCAACAAGGCTTCAGCTCTTGGGAAACTGTGGTGACCTGCCCACTATCACTGTGGTGATAGTGGGCAAGATAGTGGGTGGAAACTGTGGTGACCTGCCCACTATCACCCCCAGCTGTCTTACAGAATAATGTATGCAATATTACCACCTGTTTGATTAAGGAAGTTTACACTCAGTATCACGCCTTGACCCTGATGAACAGTTAACTTCATTGTCTGTGGAGACGTGATCTTGTGGAGACCGTGATGCTGGAGGAGTATTATGGGATTTTACACTTGTTACGCTCTTACTGCATCACCGCGACCATGTCGTTCCTGCCGCACTCTTACGCGTCTTGGTCCCTATCACACTGGCACGACATGACCCCGTCACTGGAATGACATGACCCCCAACGCTTGTGCTCCCAAAATACGATAATATTACTGAACCACGACCTTCCGCAATATAGACAAGAATACAAGACAAAGGCATCGGCTGAGAGCGACGCCGTAGAAACGACGTACCGGCGTGCTGGGTCCAGGCCCCGTACTGACGCCCCGTACTGGCGCCCCGGGGACCACAGCCACCACCGCCCCCGCCGCTGGACAGCCTATTAACACTCAACACTTACTGCGTACGTTGAGGTTATCCTCATTTTAGTCGATTAATATTTGTGCTGTACAGTGCAAATTTTCTCACTTGGCGAATGAAATAACGTAAATAATAGCAATAATTTATAACATATAGATATTTACACAAGTGCAAGAGTCACTCATTCGAATCACAACCGACCGATTCGAATACCTAGCAGCAAATAGGTACCCGGGAGTTAGTCGACTGTTGTGGGTTGTAGCCTGGGGAAGGGAAGACGTTGGCAAGGACCCTCGATAACCCTAACGGGCTTCCTGTCCCCGATAATGGGAAGCACAGTACGCGAAGCTTATGCATCCTAGCGGGTGTTGAGGAAGCTTGCACGTCCTACACACACACTTTCTAACGCTGTAATTATTAGAAAGTTATGATTTTTGTTTTGTTAGCAATTAGACCCCGCCGGAGGAGAGCTTCATGGCTCGGACACTCACACTCAATTTGCTTGAGTTTCTCCAACACTGTATATGTGTGTGTGTGTGTGTGTGGGAGCTGTGTTGGAGCGTGAGTTCCGGCGGCTCCTTCTCGTGTCCAGTGATCACTGCTATGACTCTCCTACCCACTGTGGCAGCTCTCCCATGACCGTAACCCTGTGTTACCCTGTGAAGGCACTTTCCCCTGTCAGGCGCTTCTGCCTCCCACTGCACTCACTTGCAGAGCTTGACAGGCAGCGGGAGGAGTTTGACCAAGCTTGACTGGAAAGAGGTGTTAGCGAAGACGCGTTCCAGAGCTTGATAGGAATGGGATGGAAGAATATTGTGGAGAGTGACAGGACGCGGAAGACGTATGGAAGAGACATTATGGAGCGGGGAAATGTAGGCAGCAAGGTGTGTAGATGAGTCTGGTGGGCAGTTATCACAGATAATGGTTCATGATGAATTTAGACATAATTTATATTGTACACGAGTGTAAATTGTGATACAGACGAACCTTATTCATCTCAATATGTCTTAAGGCCCCCCTGAGAAGAGGAAGAGTGTGAAGGACCTCAACACATCCGTTCTTGAGTCTTCATGACCAATGGTAAGAGTGTGGGGGTATGGGGTGAGAAGCCCATGGCGTGGGGGGCCCCACTGGTCGTACTCTCCCCCACACACCCTCCCACACCCTCCCACACCTACCTGGATTAACACCTCGCACTATAACTTCCACTCCATACCACCTAATCTCTCCCTGTTTCCACTTCCCTCTCACCTATTGTGCACCCTTTTCTTTACATGAATCAAATCGAATTAATGGCAATTGAGTAGACCCCTTCCGCCTCCCCTCCCCCCCCATCCCCCGCTGGGAGACTACTCCCCCCACTGGAAAACGACCCCCCCCCCCCCCATCCCTGCACCCCACAACGCTTCTTGAGCTAATATAGTTTCTCGTAATCATATATAATTCCATTTAACATTAGTTTGTGAAAGTTGCTAGTGCTCAAGGGACCCCAGCCGCAGTGGATGAGGCCATAAGTACTGGAGGAACAGTTATCAGTACTCTTGGGGGGAACTTAAGCACTCTGACTATTGTTAAGAGTCCCCGGAAACCCAGTGACACAGGTACTGGAAGTCAAGTGACACAGGAAGGATAAAGGTACTGGAAGCCAGGTAAGGCGGAAACCGGGTCTGGGAACCTGTGGGAAGAGAGTCGAGGGAAAGTGAAGACGCTCTCAGTCTTGCGTCACTCACACACACACAAATGTATATATTGGTTCGTGTCACGCCTGCGTACCCTTGACTGTCCACAACCATCCGGACGCACCACCAGGCATCCCTCTACCCTCCAACGACGACCCATCACCCAACCTTCCACCAATCCATTCAATTCCTTCCAGAGCAACTAGAGCCGGGGTTTATCTAACATATATATGCCTAAGAAACTTATAGTAATGTAATGTAACAATGACCGCGTAATGTAACCGAGAAGAGGAATAATGAGAGGCATCACAATTGTGCAGTTCGCGCCAAAACCCTGATGGCTATGAGACGGTGGTGGATGGAGAAAGTTGCCACAAACAGTTTCTTTTAAGGGCGATGCTCACACTGTCCAGACCATTAGCAGCCTGGGGCTTTATCAAGATGTGTGCTGGATAATGTCTGGCGAGTCCTCTTATCTGCGCTGGTTACCCTCATTATTGTTGTTGTTTATTCACCCTTTTCTTCCATTCTTTCAAGTGCGTGTTTGGTATTTTTGTATCAAACCTTCACCCTCTTCTTTTTGGTTATCTTCCTTCTCTTCTTTTTGGTTATCTTCCTTCTCTTCTTTTTGGGTTCGTTAACTGAGCTTCTTATTTCAAACCTGCGTCTGCAAGCAAGCTGAGAGAAGGTGTGTCTACACCAGCATCAATGACAGAGATGCTGAGCGTACCCCAGCATCTGTAAGAGAGATGACGTGTGTATCCCCAGCATTAATTAAATATAACACGTTCACCCCTAATATCACAGAGATAATGAGCCTATCCCAGCATCACTGAGAGATGAAATGTCTTCAAAAGATGTAGATGCAACCCCCCCTCCCCCCCCCCACCCTTTCGTTCATCTTCCCCCTAGCGTTACGACACGCGCGCCACCAACCCCACTGCGGCGAAGGGGTGAAGTAACACGCAAGCAATACTAAGTATTCGTCTAATTTTACTTACGGTTTTTCAAGTCGGCTTGTGGCCTACCGTATGTTTCGTCATTGACGTGTGCTGGGTATTAAGCAACTAACCTAACCTAGAAAGTTAAATTAGCCTTGATGTCACTACTG